TAATCTAGAATTTTATGGTAATTTAGAGGTTATTTCTGGGTGTTTCGGAGCCCCGAACCAACCCCCAACGCTTATGGCAGTGGCGAGTGTGCTCTGCAAGAGATCTTGTTTGTTTTTCTCGGTGAACCATGGATATATTTTAATATTATTTTAATCTAGAATTTTATGGTAATTTAGAGGTTATTTCTGGGTGTTTTGGAGCCACGAACCAACCCCCAACGCTTATGGCAGTGGCGAGTGTGCTCTGCAAGAGATCTCGTTTGTTTTTCTCGGTGAACCATGGATTTTTTGTAAAACTTTTTTTTAATATTATTTTAATCTAGAGTTTTATGGTAATTTCGAATTTTTTGTTGTGTATTTGGACATAAACTTCATCCCCAACGCTTACGATAGTGGTGAGTGTGCGGCGTGAGAGATCTTTTTTTTACGGTGAACCATGGATATCTTATAAAATGTTTTTAAAGTTTACTTTAATCTACGATTCTGTGGTTATTTAGAGTTTGTTTCTATATATTTAGACCACATGACATCCCCCACTACTTACGATAATGGTGAGCGCTAAGTGAGATCTCGTGCGTCGTTGTCGGTGAAATATGGATTCCTTGTAAAACTTTATTTTGTAATTTAACAAAAATTTGATTGTAATCCTAGAATTTTGTGGTAATTTCTGAATTTTGTGGAATTTTTCATTTCTTTCATTCCTTTTCATTTTGAGTTCGAGTCGCAGTTTTTTTAATTGGAATTTCATATACGATCGACATGTAGGCAACGACAGGTTTTGAGACTTTGATATTACATGCACGTTCAGTTTCGGGGCTGTTTCAAGTTACTATGAATGTGTGAGAACATTTACATCCTGTTTTTCTAAAACTGTCTTCTTCTTTTACTTTTTCACTACGTTACAATACTTACTTACTAATTCACACTATTAGAGAGATGGACAAGATGGCGTATAAAAGTTTATCCATTCTGGAACGCTTTCGTGTACTTTTATCTTGAAATTGTTAACGCAATTCAATGAATAATAAAGAGGTTTTCTTAATATTCATTGGTCACTCGGGAACCATTATCATGAGGAAAATTCTGTCTATTTCTGGTGATGGCCTTAGCTTTTCTTTTATTTTGATATTTTTCACCTCTCCTCTTTGATGAACTTTGTGGTTTCTTCTTCTTCTACCCTTTCTGTTTCTTTCCTCCTTTCCGATTTTCTATCGTAATTTTAGTAGTAATTCAGAGCCTCATGATAATTTCTGAAAATTTCGACATTTTTGGGAACAAATTGACTCAGTGTCGTTTCTTTTTCTTTCTTCTTTCAAACACCTTCCTTTAAACATCCTAAAACATTATCATAAATATAAGATAAAACGATAAATAATAATTAAAAAGTACTATTTAAAATTTTATTATTTTAAATAATTTATCCAGATTCGTTCAAATAACAAATGACCATTTTTACTTGCCGTATGATTTTCTAAAGAATGTATAGATTTTTAATTTCAACGCTTGTTTATGCAAAACTTAAACCAACACTGCCAGCAAAGAACGTTTAAACGTCTGGAAATTGTGCGTTCCAACAAAAATTCCTATAATAAAATTACACGCGATCAATTTCCATCGGACGACAGCTACTTTTTTTCCCGTCGTGTCTCCGCTCTCGATTCAAATTTAATCTGCCGGGACATTAACTTTCCTCGCCAACGTCTAATTGCACAGAGAAAATTTTCAGCCGCCACGCGCACAGTTTCGCGGGAGTCGTTCCAATCGAATTTATTCGCGAGAAAAAGCTATACCTACGATCATGGGAATAAAAATAATAGTTCATACAGTTTGTGCATCGCCATGATTCTACACCTTAAACTTTGTATACGCTCGCAAGAAAATCCTGGAATCATATTCAGAATATAAATAGCATCGAAGCACTGCGACAAAATAAAAAAAAAACCATTAATGTATGGGTGAATTATTATACGTTAAGGAATAATGCATTTAATTGCTCTGACACTTTGGCGTGACCGTAGACGAAATTAATCGGCGTCTCCACTCGCAATTGGTCTCCACGGGACGATCTCTTCTCTCCTTCCACGTCACCAAACTCGGCAACACACAAAAGTATTTAACACTTCTTGCTATCCTGCACTGTATACTTTAAAATTATCCAACTGTCTGAACGGAAACTGTCACTGAACGTACATACCACAATAAATCCGTTCGGATAACAGAAGGTTTTGGTATTAAAACATTAAATTAGGGTATTTGGTTATAATGGGTGTTCCGATACGGGAGGTTCTACTGCAATAATAACAATACAGACTTTGTGAGAACACGTGATCATGTGTAGTATATAGAGTACGGAATATGTATACAGTAAATTTTCTATGAGTGCTCCATTAGACAACTCAGAGTAAAGTGTTTTGGGGTCACTACTAATTATCCTAGTATCGGATAGACAACGAGATGGACAAACAGCCTTAGCAGAGGATAAGTGTATACGGTTATTAATCACCGGACAATCTAATACAATTTTCTGATTCTGACGAAGGTGTTCAACGTAAATAGAGAATAATAACATGCCACTTGTCCGTCGACCCTCTATCCATTTCCCGGCCCATTAATACCGGCAGTTTTTTTTTTTGTTCTTCTTTTGCCTGACCGCCCGTAAATCTGCGGCTTTTTAACGAAAGCCAACACAGTCGGGCGGGCGGATTCGTAGGCGACGACGCGATGGCTGTTACGAGGGGCGACCGTGTACGTGGGCTAATTAAAGTAACGCAAGGCAACGTTATTAATCTTGCTCGGTATACAACGGCGGTATTACTAAACATCCTGTTAAGACAGCTAATAACAAGCCGATATTATTTATCGCGACACGCGTACCGTGTCCCTGGCGTTCGCCAGGACCTCTCGAGGTATCCACGCCGTAGTATCGAGTCCTTGGATCATTTAATCTGATCGAGTCCATACTGAGCCGAGAAAAAGGCAGCAATTTGTATCATTTGCTTTAGAGATACCCTCGTATTAAATGCAGTTGGATTATAATGTTTAAAAACACTAGACAGTGGAGTCCCTATATAGTAAAAAGATTGTAGGAATTAGGCAAATGTAGGGAGAAAAAGAAGTCGGTAAAGCAGTTACCTGGACAAAGTTACTGTAAACAAAGATGGCTGCCGCGCTCCACTGTGCTCGCACGATTATACGGTATTTTTGAACTGATTTTGGAAAATCCACAATGGAGTATAGATTTATTGCATCGGTAAAACGGGTTTACGACGCATAGAACTTACGAATGCATCACGTGAAATTTTGCCTTGGTGACGATATCAAAATGGATTCAATAAACAGAAATACTATTCGTTTTCTTGGAGTCAAAGTGAAGTACTAGTTGGCTGACATTAATATTTTATTTTTAGAGTTAATGTACAATTGCAATATGTACACGAATTCCTTTTGTTTCTGGGAAAATATTTATTATGAAGTAATTCTGGAGACTGCAGACATAAAAAAAATCATAGGGCAAGGGGTTAAGAGCCTTGGCTCTGTTCCTCACCTTTCTCTACTTCGTGCTTGCATCTCGACTGAAAACGAATTTGGAGAATCATCGATATTACACTGCCAGGATATTGATACAGGCACATTGTCCTCCTCGGTCAATTCGAAATTCTGCATTCTGGAAGGTTACGCAACTATGTTGTTACCATTCGTTCGGCGAGTTACGTAAAAGGAAATAATCGGTTCTCCTTATAGTCTTGCACACTTGCTTCTTCTATTCCGTTCACGGAAATAACAGCCACGGTCCATCGTAGTGACATTTCTTCTTTCGTTAGTGTTCCTAGTATTCAATGGAGGGTAATAGTTTCCAAGGGGGCATTGGAAGCACGAGCAACAAGAAAATAACTTTTCACAAAACTAGAGTACACGCGACTTCGTGTAGAATTAAAAAATAAAGTAACACACTCACACCCACCGCCATGTTAATTGTCACCGTGTACCGATCGGAATTGCCTCCATAAAATGCCATGAGATATACACAGGGATGATTCTTGATGACGAAATAAGTCGAAAATAAAGAATAAAATTTTTAAAATTGTAAAAAGTAAAAATCAACTGAAAATCTCATGCAATTGCATAGGACTCGGTTAGCGCGTCTGTTCATTGCATTCTGTTTCTACTTACCGCCATGACGAATACATGCGTTTCCGATTAAGTTTCAAAGTCGATTTTCTCGAAAACGAAGTCTCAAATCAAAAAATTTTATTCCATATTTTCGACTTATTTTATTACGTACAATCACCCCTTACTCGGTTGTACTACTAGTTACATGACACCCTATATGTATAGATATAAGATATGTACAATAAATTCTCGATAGGTGTTCAAAGGCTCCTCGGTACTGAACATAAAATATTTCGTAAACTAATGGTCATATACGGCTGAAACAAATATCGTAGACTTCAGAATTCCAACCTCTATCACTATGCTAATCTTCATTAAAAATACAGCGTTACTCCTGGGAACCTCCCCTTGTCAGTGTCAAAGAGCCTTGGACCATTCATAGAAGATTTACTGTATACATATTCTGTACTTTCTGTACTACACATAATCACGTGTTCTCACAAAGTTCGTATTGTTATCATTACAATAGAACATCTCGTATTCGAATACCCATTATAACCAAATACCCTAATTATTCGAACGTTCTACTACCGAAACCTTCTGTTATCCGAACAGCGTATCTCACTCATCGAGAATTCACTGTATACAGTAAGAAATCGCAAATTTTGTTAGTCCCCATTATTATACCAGTATTTTCGGTTGAACCTTCGCTCTATATAACTCTAAAAAATATCGGTATTTATTTCAATTTTCAATAATATATCGGTTTCGGTATAGTTTCGATGCCATAATGCCGGTATCAAAATCATACCGGTTCAGGTCCCTGTAATAGTCGCGTCGATTTTCTTCCAATGTACCGAATACAGTAAATCTTCGATGAGTGTTCAAAGATGCCTCGGCATTTACAAGTAAAGATCCCCTGGTATAACGCTGCCTTTTTAACGAGGTTTAGCATAGTGATAGAACTTGGAATTCTGAAACTGATTACATTTGTTTCAAACAATTTCGAGTAATTGTCGAACACTCATCGAGTTAATACTGTACGTCTCTCGATCGGTTCGGATACCGGAGGTTTTGACGTGTCCTGCGAACGTTATCTATTCGTAGACCGTGTTGTCGTCGTTCTACGTGCTACCCTTCCTCTGCAACTGCGTGCTGGTGTCCACCTCGATGCTGACGCCGCTGAAGGCGGACGGTGGACTGAGGATATTCAAGGATGTGCCAGGTGATCTCGAGTACGTGCTGAAGAGGCACAACGTCGAGAGTCGTTCGGACGATTCGGACTCGAAGGAACGACGTAGCAGTATGGGCTCGTCGTTCATCAGATTTGGACGTAGCGATTCGGACAGCCATATCGAGAAAGTTCTGGGCGACGAAGGGAACGCAGGTGGCTCGAAGGTGAACAGGTATCCACGCTGGAAGTCGCCCGACATCGTGATCAGGTTCGGCCGATCGGACATGAAGGCGATCGGCGCCGACAGAGAGTACAAACGGGGAAGGAACGGGCAGAGCTTCATCAGGTGAGTGATTGAACGTGAAAGAGGATTCGAAGGTCATTCGAGAAAGTTTGAATTCGTCACACCCGGACAAAGATGAGGAACGCGATATTCAGAAAGAGAGATCTTTTTTCGATATCGATGAACCCATCGAAATTCGTAAATTTAAAGCTTCACACATCGTCGATTGCCTTTTGATGTACCTTAAGTATGGGGTCACTTGGTTAAGGTAACTTCGTTCCGATTCGGAAAATGGCCATTTTCGATTTTGCAGCTCTGCAAATTGGTGAATTAAGTTTGAAGATAATTTACGTGAATGTGCTTTGCGAAAGAGCTGCAGAATCGGATATGATCATTTTTTTTTTATTCTGGGACAATGTTACATTTGACTACGTCAAAGTTACCACAATTTACATTAGTGAATACATATTGGGCGACTTGAAGTTAGCTGCGAGGACCAGTTAACGGGGGATTCCACGCGTTGAAGTTGCATCGAAAAAATCGGAGTATGAGAAAGAGAGGCTTCATTGTCGTCGGTAATCGAATTTGAAAATTCATTTAGGTGTCCCTTTGTCTGTTGAGCAGAGATGGGCAATTTCATTATTTAAATAAAGAGTTTCGAATGACGAATAAATTGTAGTCACCATCTTTAATTGCAAAACCCTGCAAGGCTATGGTTTTTTAGACAACCTTTGTCATTATTTGCTGGCAATTTGCCTGAAACTTGCAGATAACTGGTTATCAGAATTTGTCTCCATTTATTCCGAAAAGAAAATTGAAGACTGATCAAACAAAAGTGAACGATGCCAGAATATTTTATTACTCTCCTAAAAAAAAAACATTGACAACGGTCGTTTTTGTTACGAGCTCCCCAAGATAAACAAAGCACAAACACGATCAACTGTTTAAAATTTACCGTCTAGAACACGAAATCGTGTTAACAAGTTGAACGCCATTTGTATTCAAATAAATACAATACATTCCGGTGGCCAGAGCATGGAAAAATTCGTTATCTAGATAAAAAATTTCGAACATCAAATAAAACATAAAAAAACTTACTTCGCCGAAATCTATGTAGAAGCAACTTTGTATTTTCATACATTTAAAAATAAAAATATTCTTCACTTTTCCATGGGGACCTCTACTGTTACATTGCATGTATAATTATATGTTAAAATAAAATCGTCCTGTAGTAGTTCGTTGCTCATAGTAAAAATGACTCGGACTGCAAAGGGTTAATATCATAACCGTGAAAATGTCAATTTTCACAATAAAACGATACTTAATCTCGAATGAGTAGACGCTTGGCAAGCAATTATTTAATTTCATTAACTGTTCAAAGGTCAGCCTAATAGACCACCTGTATTACCTCGAATAGTGTGTCCTTCATTCGTATTTGTTTGTTGACACAGTTGCCAAAACAGCAAGAAAATGTCGTTCACCCATCATGGCGTTTGACGTGTTAACCACAGAGTACACAATCGGAAATTCCAGTCCGCGGATAATTTGATTTTCCGTTTATGAATTTCTTCGACAGATTCGGCCGTGGCTCGCGGATCTGTACCGATCTGTTGCCGAACGACGAAACGGTCAAGGATCTTTATCCGTACGAGGCGAGGCTGCTGCGTCTTTGCAACGTGCTGACCAACATGGACCCCGAGCCGAGAACCGTGCCGGACTTTCTTGTGGAACGTGTCGAAAGGGACCAGGAGTAACGGTTCGCCAGCCGAACCGACACGACTGGAGCATCGAAAGATCGCAAGGAAAGGGAGGGGGGGGGGGATCGTTCGCGTGACATCAGTCCAGTTGCGTTCGATTCTGAACAGTTCCCACGGACAACATTATTATCGGCCGATCCATATTGAATTACCACGGGGTACCCAGTGTTCTCAATTTTCGCTTGATTCAATTTTCCTTCCCTCTCTATTTTTTTTCCCGCGACGACATCCATTATTCCTTTCCTTTTTCCAGAAGGAACATGCGATCTGATTAACACGGTCCGGAGGAATCACTTACTTGTCTTGTGGCCGCTATGGTAATATTGCCTCGGAGCGTTTCTATTGCGGGACTGCCTATTGGTGGGTGTTGACTGAGTTACGCGATTGGTTCGTGGTTATTCAGGGAACGATCATCTTAACAATGGAACCACCGAACTTGTTAAAATGGACGGATTGCATATTACTTTATTCGATGATTATTCATGCTGTAATAGTGCTTTTGATGGAATTTATCTTTGCTTTTAATTTATTGGACTTTTTATACTGTATTATGCTAGATTGTAGTGTGTATTGTGTATGTTACTGTATTATACAGTTGAATTTAGTATACTTCGATGCTGGTGGTTCTAGTGTTGATAGATTTATTTCGTTCTGCGTGGTGTCTAGTCGCTTTAGATATATTTATTAGTTTTTAATTGTGTATATTCTTGTTGCTTGGGGGCAGAGTTGGGCAGAATTTTATTCAAGCGATGAATAGTGAAAAATGATAGTATCTAGATCGTTATTTTGACTTTTATGAAGTTAAATTAATTGTTTCCCAAGTGTCTACCGGTTTAAGAAGAAATGTGATTTTATTATAAAAATTGAAATTTCGATGTTCATTCGATTGAAAATGACGGAGTATTTTTTTTATCTTTATTCGTCATTCGAAATTCTTTGTTTAGATAAGAAATTTGCCCACCTCTGTTTGGGGGAAAAAATTGAATTGATATGCATGATCAGATGAAATTGGTGAACCTTTTTTGTACCTGTTATACGTCGTCGTATTATTGTTAGCGACTTAGTTCCATTCATTTAGACGGTTTGTTAACGAGAAAAGAATAATTTTACACTGTATCGTCCCAGAGCAGAACTAAAATATTAAGTTATTATACAAGATACTGTGATCGATGAATCTTAATATTATAGCGAGAAACAGTGTGATTGTCTGAAGTTATTTTGCCAGAGCTTTTCAGCAAAGTGTTCTCTCGCATACCAGATTTTTTTTTTATATACTGACGTGTTAATTTTTACAATGTCTAATAACGTTTATTTCTACTACGCTCAGATGGGCCAGTGTTTTCTTCGTTTGTCTGTGATAAATGCTTCGTGACCTTAATTGCGACGGCCGTAAGATAAGTTACAAAGTGGTCGAGTAATATTGTTACCGACAATTTCATTTTAGCATCAAGTTTTTATACAGGTCGATTAGATGGAACGTTCCTAGAAGAATTTTCTATTATCACGGTAGAGAAGTCTGGTGTCCCGATGAATTATTTATAATCTGCTTAAAATTTTAGCAAGGTGTATTTAGCAAATACTGTTTACTTGTGCATAGTTACTCCATTTTTCATAGATTCGTTTGTACCGATGAGCCATTTACAATTACAAAAATATATTGTATATTGCTTAGATTTTTTAAACATTAGTTTCCCCCATTTTTTCGTCTACTTTTCCCTGAAATTCTGTTTCGACCGCTACCAACACACGCTAACATTTATTCAATCAACCCTTAAATACAAACTCCACCGTCAAGTATACAACTGTCCATTCAATTATACATAATTCACCGAAGAAGGAATACAATTGTTAATGAATCTCGCGTAAGTTAATGAAAGACAAGCAGACTGTCTCTCAAAATGGAACGGTACCGGCTTTATTTATTTTCTCGTGGAGATATGTACCAGAGACAGGATTGTTCTTCGTACACCTGAAGAGAAAAGGATTAATTTTAAGAGAATTCAATTAACTAGGGACACGTTTATAGAAACGGTTGTTCTTTCGTTTTTCACGGTGCGAAACGAATTGAAACGGGATATTATTATTTTCGGAATAGATGTATCAGAGATTTCAATCGGTCGACGAATAATGTTGTTCGAAAAGATATCTCTTCTGGGTACATACCTTGATGTGCATCCACCTGCTCCGTCGCGTATTCAGTGTACATATAAAGATTTAATCATTAAAACGGCTTCGACGTCAACGATGGATCTCGTGGATCGACCAGAATCGGAGGTGTGGATCGTTCTCGACGAAGCCGACACGTCGTCATTGCCGACTACACGTTTGTCGTTGTTCCATTTTGAAATTGCTGGACGCTAGGAGGGACCAGGCTGAGTCAGTGTGCCATTTCTAGGGCCATTTTTTTTTGTCTGTTCGTCGAGGAGACGGGAACGATGGTAATAGAGTTTTGATTTATCGTTTTATACGAAGGAACGTGTATTTTGCACGAGTCTGAGTTAAAGAAAATGGCCACGTGTTAGTGTGATCGACGATACAGAATACAGTGAATTAAAAATCGATTCCTTTCACGGAATCGGTGGACAGATTTATAGATCGAATGTCTAGATATTCTTCATTTATCACGATTGACAAGAATTGTTGTAGAATCATTGATTTGGAAATGGTACCAATTAGAGTACCGTTATCGGATAACAATTATTTCGTTTGTGGTGACTATTTAATTATTTTTAGTATTTAATTCGAAGATCCTATTCTTACAAATAGAACGCGTCCGTTTACAAGAGACTTAATTGCGCAATGGACTCAGCCCGAATTCCTCTTTCGCGTCCCTCAATTACGATAGGAGATAAAATTAACGGTAAATTGCGCATTGTCCTGTAACCTAAACGTCGTTCTTAAAAGTGAATGTAAATTTAATACACGCGTATGAATTAAAGGAAACAAAAAAGTGGCTGGAAAACTGGATGGTTCTTCTCTCTGCACGATCAATCCCTGAAACCATAAAATCATCCCCCCCCCCCCCCCCCCTCGTTTCAGCGTCGACCAATCCGGAGCTGTTAGACTTTTATATGGAATAACATACATTTTTTCTTGCAGTAGTTTATTACATTCTCCATCGTTAGCGGAAATTGAACATGTTACAGAAGAATTACCGAGGGGATGTTGTTTATTATTTTTCTTTCGAATCGAGGAACAACTGTAGTATATTACTCCAACATGGATCAACTGATTCTGTTAGAGGATTTCAAGACGAATTCGGTAAGTATCATAACATAACATCTGTTAGGCGTACAAAAATTATAGGTGTATTTGCAAAAAATTGAAGATGACCTCGAAAAATCATGGAAAAAAAGAGTTGACAAAAAATTTGCTATAATCACGTTAAAGCTCTCTCAAAACATTTTCGATCGGACTGTTAATGACAGAGTAATGTCTATTATTCTGCAAGTGATGTTGCATAACATTTTTCTCCCTGTTTTTCTAACAAAATTTTATACCATCGCTGAATAACGTGTTACATTACATAGTGTACACACAGCTTAAGACAGTGTACTGTTAGGTAACCTCACCGACGAATCCAACTAGCAGGCCTAGGACGAAACGTTCCCATTTTTTTTCTCCCTCATTCCCTTCTCACATCTTTCATTAAAGCCGCCATTACACGTCTAACCACGCGAACCGTTCTCTGTTTCAATTTACCGCCGGACCCTCGTCCTCTTAAACACCCTGTACAATTTCGCACTTTCGTCCCCTCTTCGCCCTTCCCCGTCGAAAATCAAAAGGAACGAGGGTACCCGTTACACGTCATCATTCCCGCCATCATTCCCACCCCCATAACCAAGGCCATTCCTCTCAATCACCTCCGAAAAAAAACAAACGGTGTCGCGATGCGTCACGTACAAAACGATCGGCGTGTGACCAACGCACAACACCCCTCTTTCCCACCAAATAAGCATCTTCTTGGAGGAGAATAAGTCCTGCGGCGATGGTAAACGAAGAAGAATGGGATCCTCCGATGTCTTCATTCGATTCCCTTTTCCCCTCCCACCGGTCCGAGATCCGTTAATCCGACGAGTTATACGCGTACCACGTGGTTAACTCCGTCAGATACGTGTCGAATAGGTGCAGTAAAATTAGGCACTACGAAATGTTGCTGGAATTGAAATAAACATTGGTCTGGAGATATTAACTTTCAGATAATGCACCTGTGCGAATTTGTACCAGCGAGTACGTAGTTTTGTTTGTTTTGAAATTTATCATTTCTTTGTACAACAAATTCTCTCACAGGTTAAAAAGTTAATTTCATTTTTGCAATTATTACCATTGAGATTTTAAGGAAATTTTACCTCATGGGCGTAGCCAGGTTGATTCAATGCAAAATTTATCGTAAAGTAAATTTCATAATATTACTTTTCTCCTGTAGGGAAGGGGTTGAAATACAATATTTTCCTCTCTAGGGGGTTAGAAAGACCACATTTTCCCTCTAGATCGGTTTACCCAGAAAAATATGTTACGAGTTCATTTATCTTTTATTCTCTTCAAGTCCTCAAACATTCAAAATCCCAATTTCCACTAGTGTGGTGTTTACGTACGTATGTGTGTGGTTTCTGAGGGTTAAAGGTCAACGGACAACGCCTTATGTTACTATATGAAGTAACAAACGTTGCCCTAAAATACAATCATTTTTACGAAACATCATATTCTCTCCATACAGACCAGGTGTCCCTATATTTATGAACGATACTAGTTTCCACGTATATCGTGGTGCACGTGGATACGCAATGCGATGACGATGATGATGTCGTGACAGGGCAGTAGCCCAGCCCAGTCCAGCCCAGTCCATGGCTGGTTCGTTTCGATATGCGACCCACGTGTTTGTGCTTAATCCAATGCCCCAGCTGACCGACGTACTAAGGTTTCCCTGAACTATGTAGAGCTGTCCGCGGCACGGACACGGCTTTTCTTTCCGTTTATTCGGTGTCGTTCGCTCGCTCGGCTTCCACGGACCGGCAGACCGAGGAGAAACTCTGCTCTGAAAACAGGCTCGGGACCGTTCGACATCCTCGGAGGGAGACCGTCCAGGTGTACGCCATGGGTTCCCGTTGATCGACACCGATTGCCAGGTACACTGTATTTCGTAGTGATTACACGATGTCTCCTAGTGATCCTTAAGTGATGGAGTGGGAGGAGGGGAGGGGGTTTTTTGTTGTTCGGTTCCGATTGAAATTCTTTCTTCGGTCCTCAATACCGATTTTAACAAGGTTATTTACTTGAAAGTGTAGGGCAAGCTTCGGGGTTTGAATAATTGTATAGGACAGACTCTGAATTACAACAGATACTCGGGTATTAGGAACTGTTTGGCACTGTTGGTGCCTCGCATGGTTTGAATATCTTTGCTTTACAAGATTCAAATATCTCTGCCTTGAAAGAGTTGAATAACTTTCCCTCACAGGATTCAAATGTCCCTGCTTCGCGGGATTCGAATACCTTTGTCTCCCAAAATTCGAATAGCTTTGTCCCAATAGATTCGAATACCTTTGCCCTCCAAGATTCTAATATCTTTGTCCCACAATATTCGAAACTCTTTGCCTTTCAAGATTCGAATATCTTTGTCCCACAATATTCGAAAATCTTTGCCTCTCAAGATTCGAATAGCTTTGTCCCAATAGATTCGAATACCTTTGCCTCTCAAGATTCGAATACCTTTGCCCTCCAAGATTCAAATATCTTTGTCCCGCAATATTCGAAAATCCTTGCCTCTCAAGATTCGAATAGCTTTGTCCCAATAGATTCGAATACCTTTGCCTCTCAAGATTCGAATACCTTTGCCTTTCACGATTCGAATATCTTTGTCCCACAATATTCGAAACTCTTTGCCCCTCAAGATCCGAATATCTTTGTCCCACAATATTCGAAAATATTTGCCTCTCAAGATTCGAACAGCTTTGTCCTAATAGATTCGAATACCTTTGCTTCTCAAGATTCGAATACCTTTGCCTTCCAAGATTCGACTATTTCTGAGTTTTCATCAGGTCCAGTGGGGAGAGTCCTCTATCTTTGCAAATCCACGTACAATAAAGAGGACTATCTTACATGCGCTCGTAATGAATCCGTGATTTGTCAAATTTCAAGTTAATTTCCTATATCAGCGTTATACAGATGATAGATGCGAAGACAAATATAACGAGCTGCGGATGATATCTGTAGAAGTGCAAAGTTTTCACCAAGGATACACCAAAGAATGTACAGGGTGTTTCAATTCACTTCTCGACGCGTGATTTGTTTACGGAAGCAAGTTTCTACAGTCAACAAGATTATTTGATGTTTCTCAGTTAATCCGAAGGATATATAGACGCTGGTGTTGTTGTTGTATTTGATTTATTCCCGATGTGCCCCGTTATTTTGTTCACTGTCGTAATTAACACATTGGAACTTTACCGTGACAACCGATCGGAATAGTATTCGAGTCTTGCAAAACATCACCGTGCAGGTAGGCTCATCGACAGGTTGGAGGTAGATAAGATACCACCGGGACAATTGGGGACGAATGGAAGCACTATACGGGGTGAGTCGTGGGATTGGAACTTAATCTGCGGGCCATTTGCACCGACGGAAACTATGCAATCAAACGGGTTATTGTGATCGTTGTAAAAAATGTTTCACGTACACGATAAGGACGGGAGATATCGTTGTTCATTTATACCGATTATTAAAAATTAAATTATCTACTTCGTTAATTAAAGATTGATAGAATGGACGTTGGTGAGAAGACGACACCAAGCTAATATGGAAAGTGACATTTGTTGATCATTTAATCTTATGTACGATAATCTAACAATTACCATTTTCCACGTGCTACGAGAATATCCTTTTGGATCAAAAAAAATTTTCTAAAATAAAAGTTTTTGCATAGTATTAAGATATTATTTTATTTAAATTAAGATTCAAAGTGTTGAAACGAAAACGAGTAATTCACTTTTCAAATGATATTTATTTGTTATTAGGACTTATAAATTTCAATCTTCGAAAGACAAGCAGGTTAACAATAATAATTGTTGGCACCGTTGTATAGATAAACGGTTTCTCTTTTCGGTAAAAATTAATGCAGCTTGAGAAAAGAATCTCTCAGATGGGATTGACGTTGCAATTGCTCGTTGTATTTATTTCTTTCAAAAATTATCGGTATCTGTAATTATTAGTTTCTAAAATATCGATGAAAAAATAGCGAAATATCGATATATATAGTTATCGATAAATATCGCTCATCACTATTTTCCAGTCATCGTTTTAAAGGGACAGTTGTTCGCGGTAAGAATTTACGATTTCGTGGTATGTCTCACGCATGGTCGACCCACGCTACTGGACTCTCCGTTCCGTTTAATACGTCCAACGCATGGCAGGGTGCTTGAAACCCGTGTTCCTCTAACCCAGAAAAACTAATACCTAAAGAACTGTGTTAATCGCGGTGTTCCGATTAAGTGTCAGTTTCGATATCGAATTATGGATACCGGACAATCGATAGATACCAACGCTTGTCCCGCTAGCGGAGATTAGCTTCGGATCATTCACAAGGAAATCCTGTAGTCTACGTCCGAACTAAATCTTGTATTACAATGAGTAATCCACTTTAACCCCCCAAACTTAATATTCTTCGTAAAAAGAAAGAATTAAAAAACCTGATATGTCGATTAATGTTTGTTTGTGATTCTTCGACCAAGGGACTTAAATTATTTTGCTACTTTATTGCCATTTTTTGGTAGCATACGAAAGTTGAAGCTTTTAAGAATGTTTTGTTAAATTTTCAACTAAATTTATGAAATTATACGTCAGTCCACAATTAATTTTATGTCCATAAACAGGGCAAATAAAGCTATATCCTCATTTTTTTACGAATATTTAAATAGTTCCCCGGTATAAAAACAGGACATTTATTTAAAACAATTGCAAAATAGACGGTTAAAAAAAATTTTTTTTTAACTGAAATAATTTTTATGTGGTACACTTATGCCTCCAACGTAAGTACCTGTAAAGTTAATTTGAAACAGTTTGTTAGTTCAATAGTTACGATTTATTGAAAAAAGACGATTTTTTGACCCTAAATTTCAAACAGCTGTAAAATCAACAATTTTTAAAATTTTCAAAAATCCTTCAAGATACGTTTATATATCACTAAAGACTACAACATATCCTTTGAACAAAATCCGAAATGGTGCTCCAAAAATCCAATTATTAAAAATTTGCGTGAGCCACCTTAACCCCTTGCCTTACAATTTCCCTGACGACTGTACTTTCAAGCATTACTATATCGTTAATAATTTCCCCGATACCAAAGAAATTTTATCTTCAGGGCAAGTGTAACATTTACTCTAAATCTTAAATGTTAATACCAACGAAACAGAATTTCACTTCGACTCAAAGAAACTGAATGTTTATTAAATCCACTTTGAAATCGTCATCACGTGTCTGACTCGATGTTATAAGGCAAGGGGTTAAATGGTTAAGACAGTGGAATTGAAATTTTCGAGTGAAAAACGACGGCCAACTTTTCAGCCGACCTCCCCCAAGAACAATAGCGGACGATCGTCCCACGCGTCGACTGCTCGAAGGTCGCTAAACATCACTGGGAATTGTTCGGTGTGCGTAGGTGTTACTACCAGATCCCGATGAGCCAAGTCGTCAACGGGGCCCGTCGATAGGAAGGTTCAAGCTGGGCGTGTGAACAACAACACACAATGAATCCGTCCGAGTCGCAGCAGAATCTCCTCGCGAACGAGACAAGGGCCGCGTCGATGCAATCGTTAACGCCGCCCCAGGACTACTGTCTCGGCCCAGTTGAGAAGCACTTCCTGCTCAGCGCGGAACGAGGTGATTGTGCCACTGTCAAAAGGTAATCCGACCAGCCAAGCACGATGATAAATCGTCACCGTGATCGCGGGACGACGGAGAGACCGCCGTTGCGCCAGAGAATCGATCCTCTCTCTGCCCTGGATGAATCACTCGAATTCTTCCTCTCCATCTTCTTTTCCACTCCCTTAAAATTTTTTTCGTATTTTTATCATTTCATTTTGGAAAAATGTCAGAATAGAACCGTACGACTTTTGAGAGGCTTTGAGAGATGTTGAAATTTGTAAATGGTTTGTTAGAAAGAATCGTACGAGTTTTAAGGCTATGTCTCTATAGATGCTATTTTTGTGAAACGCTTAAGGAGGGGAGTGATAAGAAAATTATAAGGTCTCTATATAACTAAATATCTCCTGCAGTTGTGATTGTATAAAAAATATGTTTGCATGCAATTTGAATGGTGTCAAGGGACGAATACGCTGCGAAGAATGTTTTTGTGCCAATGTTTTTCCTTGCGTATAAATGTACATACATTGTTTCCTTTACATGTTGTAGTCGACATTAAAACGCATTCAGAGGTGTTAATGACGTGATCTTGAAATGACCTTTGACTTTGAAGCATCGTACGGGAAAATTTGATTCTATATCTTCGATTTATTTTTAGATGTGAAATTACATTTTTTTCGGGTTGTACCTCCGGTTCGAAAGCACCCTGTATAATATAGACTACAACTGGAACATTAAATATCTCATCAATTAATGCGCCTGAAATAAATATTACTGTCTTCAGAATTCCACGTTCTATAACTGTGCTGTATCTCATTAAAAAATTTGCGTTACATCGAGGGGCATACCTAACGGGTATTTATCTAGTAGACAGTAATCGCGACTTTACTGTATAACTGTCGTTTCACTTCACCGTTCTGTTTTATTAAATTCTTTAACCATCAGCTGTGCATGGTCAGACTATACACTTCAGTACAGTTTCATTGTCAGTCTAATGATTTATTATTGTTATGTACTCAGCTCATGTTCCGATTTGCTAATTACAAACCAGGAATATTAATTGGTTATCTGAACAGTTACAAAAAAATATTAAATAATGCTGCTTTATCAAACCGATTTAATATACGGCAAATAAAAACTGCGCGAATCAATTGTTTTAAAATGTAATCAAGTAACACTGTCGGACAGGTTATTGGAAGAGAACAAGGACCATCCAGAGCTGCTCAATATCGATTGCGTGGATCCGCTGAACAGATCAGCGCTGATCGCCGCCATCGAGAACGAGAACATCGATTTGATCAAGCTGCTTCTTGACTTGGGTATCCAAGTCAAGGTAATAATAATTGTTTAATATCGAAATTAAACAAGTATTACGATCTTAAACTAGCAATAAACAAAGACGTGTGCATCCGAATGCGTGTCAGGGAATTAGTAGCAACCTAATTGACTATACTGAGGATGTTTATGCGAATCCTGACTTTTTATCGCACAATTTTGCAAAAATGAACATTAAGAATGTATTCAGCGATTACTGGTCGCATATCGGAAGATGTGGATTAAAAATTAAATAATAGCACAGCCAGGTGATAGAAGCAATTTTGTTGCGATCGTTTCGTGCTAGAACCGCGTTCCTTCGCTTTCAATATGTAAATGTATACAGGACGGGCCAAAATTCGTGGTTCAGATGAGATCAAGAAGATGGTACGGCTGAAAATGAAACGAAAAACAAGAATCACAAAATTACATTTTGGGCTGCCATATTCGAGATAATCGAATTTGAAAATCTTTTGGATACGCGTGCATGCGGAACTTCGCTGTCACGTCTGTGCATTGCATTCCATTTCTACTTAATACCACGGTACGATTACATGCGGTTTCAGATTAATTTTCCAATTTCATTTTCTCCAAAACAATGCCTCTAACGCAATTTCGTTATTCTTGATTTTCGTTTTATTTCGAACTGTACTATTTTTCTGACTCCGATTTGTACCACGAATTTTCGCCCACGCAGTATGTGTTCTTTTTTTCTGCTAAAATGGAGGCGTAGCGAGGCGTAGATTCACGATAAAGCGTCCTCTCCGTTGGGGACAGCGCGTTTAAAAGCACACCGCGCAACGGACATAATTTCTCCTTCTCTTCCCTCAGGATGCTCTCTTACACGCCATAAAGGAGGAGTACGTGGAGGCTGTGGAGATCCTCCTGGAATGGGAGGAGAAGAATCATGCGGCGGGACAACCTTACGTGAGTTCAACAAGTTCCATCCATAGGTGGTAGAATATCCCTTTCGAAATCGGTCGACAATTCACGTTAACATTGTACCAGTGGCTCGCAAAACATTACCGAAAGCTCTGTGGTAGCCTAGACTCCCATCTTATAATGAGAAATTGTCACTTTCTGGGAATTTGTTTTTCAGTGATAACTGAATGTTATGTTATGATCGAAATGTTCAACGTAAAAGAATTGTTGTTTATTTATTACTACACTTACTGAGAGTGTACAACATTTCCTTTCGAAACTTTTAATAGTTTTGTTTTTATATATACAAGGCGAGGCCGAATAATATGTACAAGGTACGAGGTGATTCCTTATGAAAAAAATAAAAACAAAATATAGAATAAAATTTTTTCACTTAAGACTTACAAGGGAAGGCACGGAAGTGTCCCCCTCCGATTTTGATGAAACTTCGTATGTCTGTTAAGCAATCGAAAATAAGGGATACGTATTTTTTTTTTTATCGGCTGAGGTACGACTTTAAGGGGCGAAACCACCCCTCGAAGTTTCGATCCGAAATTTTTTTGTTATAAACAAATTATATTTTGGACAATTTGTTAGCAGTATATTATTCTACATAAAAACCGCAAACCTCGACCATTGGAAGTTTTCATCTATCTCTTCTGGTTTTATGTCAAATCTGACCAAAAGAACCCAATAGGAAATATTTTTTATATCAGTACCTATCTTGGACCTAACCTTTGTTACAAACATTCCAGAACATATCACGTCTACCAATGAGTAAATTACCATTATCCATTGGTACACGTAGCATTGTGATATTTTTTCCAGAGCTGGGAAGCTGTCGACAGGTCATCGTCGAACTTCACCCCCGACATAACACCGTTGATTTTGGCCGCGCACAAGAACAATTACGAAATCCTGAAAATACTTCTCGATCGTGGTGCAACTCTTCCGACTCCTCATGACGCCAGGTACAATTCATCGAACAATAATTCATCGAAAGCATTGGCGTAGCCAACGAAAAAAAGTGGATTTTGCCCCTCCTCACTTCCCAGAATTATAAAATTTTTGCGTAACATTTAATATTGCAGTATAATTTGAAACACGACTAACAGCTTCTATTAACAAAACAAATACATTTTCAAGGATTTATGACTTTAAAAACGAAATAAAGTGTGTCTGGCTACGTACAGCCTTTTTCACTGTGGCAGTCGATGTGTTAATATTTTTGCCCCTCCCTAACTGATAACCTGGCTACGCCCATGATTCTACCGAATTACAAGTAGCAATAGAAATGTTGCTGAATCGTAATAAAATTTAATTTGGCAATCATTGACTTTAACTCGGTGAATGGCGTGCGATAGATTAATATTAATGGTAAATACTTAGTACGGGACATACATCTAAAAACACAAGTTATTAATAATTTAAAGATTGAATCTTAAATCTTAAAAACTGTTTTTTGTAATTCAAAATTTGAAACAAATTTAATTTTATCGAATGTCCTTACGCGTGCTAACCGACGGTTGTCTAAAACGGTGTTAAGTGGAAAACTCTAAATCGAACTCGACCGGTTATTACAAGTTATTTGGCTTCGTGTCAATACTCGTGCTGTCACTTATACCGTGGTTATTCGATTAAGGGTACTAATTATGTTATTGAAAAACTGGCACGTAGTTATATTAAAACGTGCCTGGGTGTAAGGTGCACGTGACGGATTTTATTAAAAATTCTGTGTATTCCTGATCGAGAATTGGAGCTTGCACCATCAACTGTAATATTTCATTTGCGTCGTTGAAATCATGGCTTTATTACTGTCTCCACTGTATTTATAGTTATATTTCTTTACCGTGAATAATCTACCCTCCTTTATTGTGTGACTACAAAGAGAAATCACATGTTGCATTCTCGTAATATCATTTTCTCGGGTTGCAACATTGTTAAGAATACCAAAATACAGGTTGCTCAAATAAATGTTTTGACAAATTCTATTTTCGGTATGCCACATCGTTGACAACCTGAAAAACCAGCAACTCGAAACAGAATTTGTACGGGATTCTGTTCCCGTTTTGCAACATTGTTAAAACACGAAGGAATAGTTACTTGAATCGAAATTTTGCAATGATTCTGTTTTCGGTTCACAACGTTGTTAAAAATACGAAAAAAACCGAGTTTCATTCCTCAAAAATACAAAAAGAAAATAGGTACTTCAATCAAAAATGTTATAGCGATTCTGTTCTCGGTTTGCAACATGGTTGTATTTCCTAAAGAAATAAAAACATTCAACATTGTTGCATTTCCAAACAGATCGTTTTTTTCAGTTTCCAATATCGTTGAAAACATGAAAATTTGATACTTCACTTTGAATATCCGTAGACTTTCGTTATGTTATGTGATCGTGTATCCGTTTTAGATGTGGTTGCGACGAGTGCGTGACGTCCAGCGAACAGGACTCCCTGAGGCACTCGCAGGCTCGCATAAACGCGTACCGAGCGCTCACGTCGCCATCTTTGATCGCTCTGTCCTCGAGGGACCCGCTCTTGACTGCCTTCGAGCTATCCTGGGAGCTACGGCGATTGAGTAAAATGGAGCAGGAGTTCCGTTTCGAGTACAATGTAATACATAAAACACCACTATTCTCCTATAAACAATTAGACCGACTTAATCTTCAGTTACTTACGACTCGACCCAATAGAGACGCGTGTAACACAGTTGTTTAGAAAAGTACTCGGCTACCTTAGGCATTAAGCGAATTTTCCGTGGAATTGTAGGTTTGCAAATAAAAAACTATATAAAAATGTACGTTTATTTCACAATAAATGTGTATTAAAAATAGGTTTTATTTGCAAGCCTACAATTCCACGTTTTCCTAACGTCTTAAGGTGCGTATCCACTTGTTGCGAATCGTCGTATCGTATCACCGTTGTGTATCAATGTGGATTGGCAATCGTTGCATCGTTGCGTACGGTGATACGATACGATGATACGCAACGGTGATACGATACGAGGATATGCAACAAATGGATACGCACCTTAAGGTGGCTGAATACTTTTGCGACTAACTGGCCAAGGCTCGACTTTGAAGTGGGTCTCTTTCTCGTTATAGATCATATCGGAAGATCATAATAGGTGTCACACAGTATAGATGTCTCGACGCTGTTGTTTGTTCATAGGAGATGCGAGAGCAGACACAGACATTCGCTACGTCCCTGCTGGATCACGCGCGCACGTCCCTGGAACTGGAGATAATGCTGAATTACAATCCACACGGCGACAACTGGGAGCCCGGCGAACGACAAACCCTGGACCGACTCAAGCTTGCGATCAAGTATAAACAGAAACAGGTAAGACTTTGCACGTTTCTTACAGTTTGTAACGTTGTAAATAAAAAAAATCAATTACTGTTAATTATTCGCTTTTACAACGTATCATTAATAGAATAAAACGTGATCACTACTTTCCTACATTATGGTACATATATAGTGGGGTATGCTGCAACGAAATACAGTAAATCATTGATGAGTGCTCGAAGGCTTCTCGACACTGAACATGAAATATTTCATAAAGTAATGGCCATATACGGCTGAAACGAATATCATTAAAAAGTCAATGTTACACTTGGGGACCTCTCCTTGCGAGTGCCGAGTAACCTTCATACACTTATCGAGGATTTACTGTAATTCGTTCTAAAACCTCGGTCGTTGCAGCATTCTGATCGTTCTGCAGCATCGCAATATTGAATATTACAACATATTCGTCGTAGCATTTCTGATTGTAATAATAAAAAATGTTTTGCTGTAACATAACGCCTTGGAGACGTCCATTTTACGGCTATTTTAGGTCTAAGGCGTCTTTAAGTCGTCTTTAAGGCGTCATGTGTTACGTGGGCACTGTAATGTTAAAATCATCGACGTATTTCGTTCATCGATTCTAAATCCTTCACAACATTTTTTTTCTGTACAAGTTCGTGGCCCATCCGAACGTGCAACAACTGCTGGCAGCGATCTGGTACGACGGTTTACCGGGCTTCAGGCGGAAGAGCATGATCGGGCAGTTCATCGAGGTCGGGAAACTCGGCGCCATGTTCCCAGTGTACAGCTCGATTTACATGGTGTCGCCCACCTCACCGATGGGGCTGTTCATGAAGAAGCCGTTCGTCAAGTTCATCTGTCATTCATCTTCGTACGCGTTCTTCCTTAGTAAGCAAGTTTATGTACCTAAGTTCCTCTAAAAGTGATTTTCTCGAGATCTTGCGAAGGTATGGTGGTCTCGTAGACTCAAGATGGCCGTCATTTACATTGATTTTGTGTCAGCTAAACAGAAAGGTTTATTTCTTAAGATCAAAAGCGCAGGAGCCATCTTCGCCTGGATTATATCAATTACACATACATAGGAGAATTCCTATCTTTATTCTTCCTTTTAGAACACCCACGAATTTTCGGTATTCATTTCAGAACACTCATAAATCTTTGTTCTTTATTCCAGAAGAATTATGAAATTTTTTCTTCTTCATTTCAGAACATGTTCTTCATTTTAGAATATTTATAAATCTTTGTTCTTCACTTCAGAACGCCTAAAAAATCTTTATTCTTTATTTCAGAACACTCATAAATCTTTATTATTCATTTCAGAATACTCATAAATCTTTGTTCTTCATTTCAGAACACTCATAAATCTTTGTTCATAAATCTTCATTTTGGAACACTTATAAAAATGTTTATTCTTCATTCCAGAACATGTTCTTCATTTCAGAACACTAATAAATCTTTATTATTCATTTCAGAATACTCATAAATCTCTATTCTTTACTTCAGAACACTCACGAATCTTTGGTCTTCATTTCAGAAAATGTTCTTCATTACAGAACACTAACAAATATTTATTCTTCACATCGAAACACTCACGAATCATTCTTCCTAATTTCAAAACAACCCACAAATTTTTATTCCTCATTTCAGACCACTCACAAACCTTAATTCTTCATTTTCACAAATACCGAAGGCCTACGTGGCAAACCACAAATTTTTCTCTGTCCTACAATTTGCATCTTAAATGACAGAAAATTTACCCAACTTCGAGATATCACCTTGGGAATGGAGGTTCTGATTAGTTGGTCAAGGCACTAGCTAAGAAAGCGTAAAATTTTCCTTTTTTCCTGTATAATCCACGAAGGACTTGCCCAATTCATGTTGATATACGAAACGACGAATAAACCTTCCTGGTTGCCGATCGATCGCGAAACTTCCCCTTAACTTTTCGCAAGATTTCATCCTCCCCGATCCGTGTAGTGGGTAAACGGATTAGCCGTTAAGCAATTGCATTATATACACGCGCAATGAGACTCGAACGGATTAAAATTTCCCGATAGTGCTGCTCGGGATGGCGTCGCAACGCATCGAGTACCTGGTAATCGAGTTATTCGGGAATGCGTGGATGCACGAGATCTTGGCCGGCTGGAAGAGACGGGAACGGGGCTGCATCCCCGGCTTCGTCGAGAGCGGCGTCATCATCTACGTAATCAGTAAACAACCCTCACTGACTATCGGATTTACGAACGAAAGAATACATTATTTTTTTCTCGTTGCTTTGGATTGTAAAGGGTGTGTCTCAGCAAGAACTTGAATTTTAAATAAATTAAAAAACACATTAATTTAATTGTTCTTTTACAATTTTATGGGGAATGCAAGTATATTTAAAATTTATTTGGGAATATGTATTGTGGAATGATTTTACCAAGTTCCATGAACATTTGAGGGTGCATCTTTTCGGAAATGCAGACTTTCTTTTTACGATATTTATGAATGGTGTCGGTAATATTGTCAGGATCGATAAGACGGTTAACGGGGTGGTTGTTCCAGGTTTGGTGATGGGCGAAATGAGATCGTTATGGTCGGATGGACTGTTAGACTATATATCGGATCTATGGAATATCGTCGACTTCATTCAGAACGTGTTCTACGTCATATGGATCATGTTGAGGCTCACCGCTTTTATCGTAGTACAAGTACGTTCTTCAATTAGTTTTTCTGTTTTGGATACAGGCCAGGGTTACCAAGAGCCTTTGAAGTTTATATGACGTACAGTATAGGACAAATGAATTCAGACATTTTTCGTTGTATTTGTTATTATGGCGATGTTACTAAAGTTCTGCCCTCCCAGAGTGTTTACTATTATTTCCACGCAAGCTTTTATCAAAATTACACGGAGCCACCTACCTGTCACAAAATATAAAATAAGTTTATAGCTAGACAAAAGTATTCGGACGTTTCATGCACAACCATAAGTTGTAATCTGAAACAAGAACTCCACAAGGACATTATATTATATCTTTATTTTATCCATTCCTGGATGGACGAGGTAAAAGTTCAGGAAAAATTTTCAAAGAAAATGTCACAGACGATTCAAATAAATCATTTATTCGAGGAGAACATTTAGAAAATATATCGAGTATGGTCGACCTAAAAAAACAACAATTACACAAGACAGACGTTGATTATTTAATGTAACGTCAGTAGTATCCTTAATTTAAATAATACAGGAAACGGTTTTTCTCCGAAAACATTTCTCCAGTACTGTACTTGGAAGCTAGCGGAGGGCGAAACACACCATAGCAATCTTCGCAAGGTGTGCACACGTCCTATTAGTTTTTATATTAATAACAGAATAATAACACAATTAATATTTAATCACAATACATAAGAATTGAAAATTTTAAGCTACTTTTACTGTTATTCCACGCAGCGTATAAGCTGTATAGAGGTACTGTGACGTCGCACGGCCTTTATTTCGAAGCCATAACTCATACCTTATGGCGTACGATGGAACTTTGCAGAATTCTTACACCTTGCACAAAGTTCTGTGAACTGTTTTTCGTTTCACACTCGTAAATACAGCGATTTCTGTAAGATGAGTTTTGTGTCTGTTATCGTTACGAATATTTCCGTCGACAGAGGGAATACTGGAACGGCATGGATCCTTGGTACCCCAGAGATCAATGGCACGCCTTCGATCCCATGCTGCTTTCCGAAGGAGCGTTCGCTGCTGGAATGATCTTCAGGTAAATTTTCATTACAATTTTCATTCTTCCACGGGCAGAAAACGTTCGATGTTAACGATTAAAATTATTCTTATTAATTTCCTCGAATCGATTGTATTCGTGTAACCGATCGGTATTCTCGCAGCTTTCTGAAGCTCGTCCATATATTCAGCGTGAACCCTCACCTTGGGCCACTACAAATTTCCCTTGGGCGAATGATAATAGACATTATCAAGTTCTTCTTCATCTACACGCTTGTGCTGTTCGCCTTCGGCTGCGGTGAGTGTATCCCGGCAATGTTTATTTATTCACGAGTGACCGCAAAGTCTATGCGACCGTTTCGCGGCCCACGAGACGCGGCCACTCTCGGTCACCGGACAAAAAATACTCCTCCGTCTTATTAGACCGTGGCATTGATTATTTACCGGGGAACTTTCTTTCGAACTTACCACCGGGACCACTTGACGCTTTAGAGATCGATCGAGCATCATATTTCGAATCAGTTAACTCTTCGAGGCAGAGATTCTTATTTGAATATATTTCTTTCAATCCCTTGTACAGAGTTGTTCGATTAACTCTTTAGGGTCTAAAAACTGTCCCACCTTTTCCTTAGCTTTTTATGCACGGTAGGATATATTTTAACCCACCTCGAAAAGTTGAAGTTACTCATAGTCATACAAGTTTAATGTTCTATTTTTATATAATTTTTTTTGTAGTAAAAAACATTCTGTGCAATTAGGATTTTTATTTTCTTTAAAATCGTGTGCCTCAAAGAGTTAAGTAAGGCCACCTAAATATTTCTTCAGGTTATTGTGATGCAAAAAATAGTTGTTACGTGATGTGCATGGTGTCAATGGACCAATGTCTGGCAAGAATATTTTTTCCCAAGGTCATTTCTTTCGGAGTTATCAAGGTCATCGGTGTTTTTTTCACATAACTAGAATTTTAATGTTCGTGGTATTTTTCGACATAGAATATTAGTGGAGGAAAGTGGATCCCGGACCACAAAGTGCGTTAACACAATTATGTACAACCTAACCTAACTTTAGCTTAGAATCATTACACAAGACTTTTCTGTTAAGGCCCTCCCTTATTAATAACTTACCTCGATCTCGAGGAAAGTGGAACTGTTTTGAACCTTTGTTCCATCGCGAACTCTGTTTAGGAATGAACCAACTGATGTGGTACTACGCGGACCTGGAAAAGATGAAATGCTACAACATAAAGGACTTCCCGGATCTCCCCAATTTCGATGATCAGGAAAAGGCTTGCTCGATTTGGAGACGTTTCGCTAAGTACGTCCGAATAGAATGTACGAAGTGAAATAGTTTTCGTGGTTTCTAGAAATTTTTGGCTCTCTTCGCGCCATTTTTGCTGAGAAAGTTCGAGTGCTCGAAGAGTTGTCGATCGAAATCATCGACTTCTCAGTTCGATCTATTAGAAACCAAAGTAACTACTTGGGGTAAAAACTGGGAGTTAAAATTCAATTTTCCAATGAATGATTTCAGTTTATTCGAGACGTCGCAATCTCTCTTCTGGGCCAGTTTCGGAATGATCGATCTGATGTCGTTCGATCTGACAGGAATAAAAAGCTTCACGAGATTCTGGGCGCTTCTGATGTTCGGTTCTTACTCCGTGATCAACGTTATCGTCCTGTTGAACATGCTCATCGCTATGATGTCCAATTCTTACCAGATTATATCAGTACGGCGGTGTATAGAATCATATTTAAACGGGGATCGAAATAAACAGCTATCCTTCGTTTCTAAAAAAATTCTGTTCGAACTTATATATTTCGTTTAAGAAAATATCTGCTTCGGGGAATTTTTTCTAGAAAGAAATGTTACCTTTAGGAATTTCTTTAAAAAGTGTTCTCATGGAACAGATATTTTAGAGTAGAATATTGTTGCGCTACTATCAATTGAATAGTATTCAGTATTTGTTACAATGATTCAGAACATTTTTTAATATCGACGAACAAAATATCTGTTCTAGAAGAATTTTTATTCTTACACTTCATAAATTGTATTCAAATTAAAATTTTTATTTTCAAGAACTTTCGTTTGATCTATTCTCATAGGAACATGTAATGTGAGAATGTTTTTTAAAAAACTTCCACGGTCCATGTTTTAAATAGAACCTATTAAAAAGTTCCATAACTTTTTCAATCCCTGTTTTTAAACGTAACAACACGTTGACTGGTAGCATAGTCGGTGCAACGACCATCTCGACGCAGGTCTCGGCGAACCAGTGAATTTTCAATTGATTCGAGTATTTTGAATTTAGGAAAGAGCCGATACCGAATGGAAGTTCGCCAGAAGTCACCTGTGGATGAGCTACTTCGAAGACGGCGACACGGTGCCGCCACCTTTCAATATGATACCGACCGGAAAGACGTTCAATAAACTCCTCAGTTGCAGCAAAAGCGGCCGTCAAACCAGATCTTTGATCGTACGTACACGTTCACTGTCAATAGATAGCCTTGACCAGGATGATTAGGCGTTTTTCATTTTTTTAAACCTTCCTATTGTTCATCATCCTTTATCGGGGGTAGTTGAAAGGAATTTGAAAATAGTTGACGAGGTTTATAGTGGGCCATAAAGCAATAAAGTGGTCCATATTTTACATTTTGTGCTTCTTCCTAAAAGTTATATTTGAATATTCTTTGATGAAAGTTAATTTGTTCATATTTTTAAAGGTCAAAGGTTCTTGAAATATCCCAGAAAAAAGTGAACTGTGTGACCATTAACTCAAGTAAATTCTTTCTTTAAAAGAACAGAGTAAAGGTCAGAAAGAAATTGCAGATCATTAGGGCAAAGGGTGGCCCAACAAAATATCGACAAAATCATTGAAATAATATTTATTAAATATTCGTATTTATGGGGTGCCTAATCCTTTTGGACAATGTTGTAAGGTCCATCGATAATATACAAATAAATCCTTTAACTATAATTGGTGAGTAAAGAACCAATTTTTTCGAAAACTGTCGAATTTGACACATTGTTTCGGACTGAACAGAAAAAATCGAGGGAAAAAGCGTTGGCGAGACACGAGACTGTGATGAGACTGCTGATCCGACGTTACGTGACCGCGGAGCAAAGGAAACGCGACGAGTTTGGTATCACAGAGGACGACGTTATGGAGATTCGACAGGACATCTCCACGCTGCGATACGAGCTGATCGACATACTACGTCAGAACGGAATGAAGACGCCCAGTGTCGACAAGCAGGACGCTGCGTGTAAGTTTTCAACGGTGTACTTCATGTTCCAAGAAACTTAACCCTTTGCCATACGATTCTTTTATACGACTACACTTTCAAGAATTATTTTATCGTTAATATTTTCCCAGATACAAAGGGAATTCTATTCTCATGGCAAGTGTTACATTTATTCCAAACCTTAAATGTTAAAAATTATTCACGTTAACTCAATGAAAACGAATTACATGTTTACTAAATAAAATACGTACTGTGTACCCTATTTTTTTTCTTCACGATCTTCGAACGATCGTCGATCGGACCTCGAAGATTCCAAAATGGCGTCGTGAAACTGAACTCGGTACTAATTTTCTCACAGTGTCCGGGAAAAAGGGACGAGTGATGGAACGTCGTCTCCAGAAGGACTTCCAGATCGGTATAGTTGAAGGTATCGTGAACGCGGTGATCCAAAACGAGAACGAGCCGAAGGATGTGTTCAGTCAAATCGCGAAGGCGATCGGCCGTAAGAGCAGCGGCAGCAAGAAGAAGGACTGGAACGCCATGGTGAGGAAGAACACGCTCGCTAAAGATCCGATTGGCAGCACCACCGAGGCGTCGATAAAGCAAACGCGGCGCAGCATACGCAGACACCTACAGCATCAAGCGAATTCGGATTTAGCATCGATGGATCCGACTCGTCTGCTCGATTACAATCCGAATCTGTCGGAGGTGACGCCTGTCACTAGGATCGCGTACGCTAAGTTCATGATGAGTCGCACAAAGGTCGCCGATGAAGATCCAGGTGACTCTATGTTCATCCTCGAAACATTGTTAGTTAGTAGACTGTGCTTTGGTAGCAATAGAATTAAACGAAATGATTGTGGAGAGAATCGGGGAACGTAGATCTCCTGGGATCTAGTTTTTTTGGAAAATGACCTTTTTCTTTGGGGACTATATTTCGAAAGTACTAGAAAGAATTTGTTGATTACACGTTACATTATGTACTCTAATTCGTTAATTATTTCGAATCTTTTTGTAATTGCAACGGAGACGTTAGCAGAACTTGAATAGAATCAACGAAATGATTACGTAAAAATTGGGGAAGGTTGATGTTCTGGGCACTAGTTTTTGAAGATGCAGTTTGGAAGACGATCTCTTTCTTTGGGGACAATATTTTGAAAGTATTAGAAAGAGTTCGTCTATTAGACGTTAAACTATGTCCTCCAATTCGTTAATTATTTCGAATTTTTTTGTAATTGCAACGGAGACGTTAGCAGAACTTAAATAGAATCAACGAAATGATTACGTAAAAATTGGGGAAGGTTGATGTTCTGGGTATACCATTTTTTGAGGACACATTTCGGAAGATAGCTTCCTTCTTCGAGGATGCAATCCCGAAAGCATTAAATAGAGTTTACCTATTACACATTGAAGCATGTCTTCTATTCCGTTAATTATTTCAATTCCCTTCATAATGGTAGTCGAGATCCTAACCTAAACCTGTTTTCCTTGGGCTCCAGTGGTTTCGGTCTCTTCTGACGTTACTGCTTGATCAACCTCTGCCTACACTCTACGAATCCATCAAATTATTTCAAGAAAGTAGATCCATGCGAATTCATCTTAAACAATTGCATTCGTTGTTTTCCTTTTCACAGAAGCCCCGAAGGAAGAAGGTGGCGGCGGCGGAGGATCCACGAGAGTAAGCATAATGGAAGGAGGAGAACCGGTCCGGGCGAAGTTAATATTGAAGAAGAGCCTTTTGAAATCGGCCAGCGGCGGCAGCATGGACAAAGACAAAACGGTTGAGAAGGTGCCGTCGACGGAGGGCAAACCGGAAGTCCGAACGCCGTCGCCGATCCCGGAGGATCCACGGGAGGACGACGCGACGAAGTCACCCCAAGGAAAATCGTCGGCCACGAAGAAGCCAACGGAAACGAGTCAGCCGAAAAAAGAGGGTGAAGATAAGAAGAAAGGGGATGAAAAGAAGGTGGAGGGTGACGATAAGAATGTAGACGATGAAGAGAAGAAAAAGAAGGAGGAGGAAGAGAAGAAGAAGAAGGAGGAGGAAGAGAAGAAGAAAAAGGAAGAAGAAGAGAAGAAGAAGAAAGAGGAGGAAAAGAAGAAGGAACCGGGTGGCCAAGCAGCGAAACCATCGCCACAGGAGGACAATGTTCCGGTCGCTACCACGAAACTACGTGGAAAATCGAAAGCTACCGGACAAATTATGGGCGGATGGATCTGAACCAGATTCCATCTTTTCTCTCTATCGGACGTCGTGTTGGCTGACGTGTTTTGTACGCAACCAGGCTGATTCACAAAGAATTTTGGGCAGACACAGGAATTGTTGGAACACCTTCGTTATCTGGATTACTAACCCACGCTGGTACCGATATTATGATACAATTGAATGCAAGAATCTTTGGGTAAATTAATATAGGAAGGTAATGGGATAATAGTACTTATTTGGTGAAGGTAATATTTATAATTGTGGAAGGATATATTAGGATTTTGCGATGAAGAGTAAACTGGGGTAAACCAACCAGTTATTCACTGCATACTAAAGAATGATATTCAGAAAGAAATGTAAATTATAAATGAAAAATTATTACATGTTTATAAATGGGGTGTAGTTGCACTTTTAATATCCTATATTTTCAGTTCAGCGTATTAAGCAAACATTGATAAGTAAAATTCTTAAATACAGCAGTCATTTACTGGGTTTTTACACGTTTCGCACTTTATAAATAATTTATTAAATATTACGATAAGAACAAGTAATTATTTTTATACAAATTTCAAGAAAAATACGTGCAATTGGAATTTCAACAGCTGTTTTGTTGTTATAAATAAACACATTCAAGTATTAATCTCAAACGTACATAAATTCAACAATTCGGTCATTCACTGGTTGGTTTACCCTATTTACAATCCTGGAGAAATAGTTTGAAATTTTGCGATACAGAGTAAATACAAGATAAAGTACAAGAAAAGAATGCAACTTGTACGAAGTTGAAAAAGTTCGGATAGTGAAGGTTTCTGTAATAAGATCTTTTTACTGTCTTCTTTTTACAGTTCAATTTTTCATTTGAATTATGGCTCCGAATTTGAACCTTAATCTTCGAATGTGAATTCGAATCGTATTTCTTTAACTTGAATCTCGATGATACAAAATTATCCATTCGTGACTTGGAATCAACGCGTGCGCGTAGACAAGTGAGAACAGCATCTAGGGATAAACCGATATCGTCAAAGTATTTTTTACTCATAATTTGTATCGAAAAGAAGTATCAATATTTAAGGAAATTGATACAAAATTCTTTTTCATTAATATAATATATTTCAACCAGAATTCTCGTGCGCGTTACTGCCGTTGCTAGCTGGCTCAAGCGCTCGCATGTGTTCCCAATTCAAGTGGATATATCTCCAACGATTTAGATAACAGTAAACTTCAAGGAAGATTTTGGTTTTTTTTTCAGATTAGCGAAATACATTTAATACCTTTGTCCGATCGTTTATACGCGATCGTATAAAAATTCTTCGAACTGTCTGCCCGTGATAAGGAAATTCTAAGTTAGATTTCTCCTTGTCTGTTCTATTTTTATAGAGATCAAAGTACAAGCAAATGAATACGTATATAAAAATCGGCATAATGTGCAATCGAATCGCGTGTTGTGCTCTCGCGATCGATATCGTCGAAGTGATAAATCTCACCTCTGGGGGTAAACTGAAATTCCCGTTCGTCCATACTGGTCCACATCGATCATTTTTACAATTGGCGCGCCGCCAACGTCATCGCAAACTAATCCCTGATTCACGATCGTCATAGTTAGAAGCTTAAGCGAAGGATTTTTTTAAAAATGATACAATACTTGTACGTATATACACATATATAGAGTATTCTTATTCCATTCTTACTTGTAGTTTGTAACTAGATCTACATGTATAATAGTGGTAAAAAAGGAAGTGAATAAAAATTAAATAAATTAATATAATTAACGAGAAAACGAAAAATAATACAACTAATATCATCAACGTGTTTGGTTTGCTCCGTTGCGTCATGACGCACAGTTTCCGCACAATTTTGAAAGAAACCACCTGCAACAAAACAACATTTTTTTATCTGTTAAATACTGGAAAAATCAGTTTCCTCTCGTTAATAGTGTCACCATTTGTCCCTTAGAAATACTGGTCCCTTTTTTTCCCTTTAATACTGGGGATACATGTACTAATGTCTAGTTTTTTTTTTTCTACGGCATGTTTGATCGTATCCTTTTAAAACACACATTTAGTGTTTCATTATTCTTTTCTTGAACATATATAAATGTTTACAACACAATTTCACTACATACCTTTTTTTTTTATCTTTCACGGTATCGCTACCCTTCTTCTTTCGATTTCCTCGTTTATCCTCCTGCAACATAATAAAACATTTACACGATTAAACAATAAAAACCACACAATCCATAATCGGTTCTTAAATTTCCACTTCTTTCTAGAGAATCGCAAACGAACTTTATCTTTGAGTAATACATGTACAATTATATCGAATATATTGATGAATTTTTTTACTTGATTTCCTATTGGATTAACACATTCATTTACATTATTATCTGATTGCTAACAGTAGTTTTTTACATGAAAACAGTCCGAAAAATGTTTTTTTCAATTATGAATAAATCGATGTTGTTTCAAATGTCAATCGCAACAAAGAAAGAAATTATTGTCAAATATAGTCACTAGAGTAATAAAATAGGTGTTCACTGTAGTCGGAAAATGCAGTTAACTGTATAATGTTAACTGTATAATTACCTGGATCAATTCACCGATGAGGTAATCCTTCAGCATACGTATCGCCTCTGAAGAATGGCCGAAATCATCGAACGGGATGGTTGCGTCCTGGCCAGCGTATTCGTCGATCAGCTCGGGACCACCTGGATGCTGAAGTCAGATTCAAAGATGCCTCCTATTTGCGTTTTTACTTGTATTTATATTTAATAATGGTGCCACGAATTTTTTTTTACACATTTTGCATCTGAATTCTGAATCACGGTTCTTGGTTTGTACATTACGAATTTGAGTCAATAATTTCCGTCATAAACACTAAAAGGATTAATAAATAATAATTAAATACTAATGGTCATACGACTAGCTTAAATTAAATACGAATAATTAAATGGTCATTCTATCGTACTTTGACTGTCGAAAAAGTTAAACTCTACTTAGGGATTTTTTTCTCTGTAAATGCAATATGTAATAAAATGCATCTTGTTAGTATTTAGTGAACTACTTATAAATGATATAACAAAAATGGAAAAATAAGTTATTTATATTTTTCTTTCAGTTTCTTCTTAGAATGAAAACGTGACATCTGAAAAAAGAGGTATCTCCATGGTGCAGGTGATTTCTCAACGTAGACTCATCCGAAACAAAAAATTCAGAAAGATTGTTAATATGTATGAGTGTCGCTATTGTAGGAAGCACAATAAATAATTTATTTTGAAAAATAATCCAATAAAATTTTTGACGAGAAACACTTTTCTTTGGTAATTTTGTTATTTAAATGTGCTTCCTGCGATAGCGACACTCATACTAATTACGAATCGTTCTCAATATTGTGTTTCCGATGAGTCTGAGCTGAGAATTCACCAGCGTCATGGAGATCCCTTCCTTTCGAGATGTCACTTTTATGCTCAGAAAAATCTTAAAACAAAATATAGTAAAATTATTTTTATATTTCCTTACACTATTTACAAGTACTTCAATAAATACTAACAATTTACTAAGGAAAATCCCTAAATACAACTCACCTTTTTCTACTATCAAAGTAAAGCAACCCTTTAAGTTCATCGGTAATCACGAACATTGCACAGATGTCAAAAATAATTATTAAAATGCCTTGAATAGACGTAAATTAAAAAAATTTCAACTGGAACTTATTTGACTCACCACAACGCAATTATATGAATTTAAAGCATAGGTTTTATATGATCGATTTCGAATTATACGAATTAAAAGTTTCATATAACGAACAAAAGATGAAAAAAATATTCCACCATTTTTATTCGATTGAACGTGGTAATTTCAATTTTTATGATAAAATAATATTTCTTCTTGAATTACTAGACACTTCAAACAATTATTTAATCTAATGAACTGTCTAAAGGTCAGGATAACGATCTCAGTTACTGCTGCTTCTCACTATGTATTACTCCAATAAAATTCTGCCCATCTCTGCCCCACATTAGTACCTCAGCTTTGTATCTGGTCACATCGTACACCATATCGTGGATCACGATCCACGTGTCGGCTCCATTTTTCCCATCTTTCGGCGCGACGTCCTTCAAACTGTACCTCGTCAACGCACTCATCCTCGTCCGTTCAAATATCGACGGATCTCACAAGTAACTGAAAACTGCAACGATTCAGTCTTATATTGTTAAGTTTCACTGTGTCGATCTCGTACGATGGCACCAGCACGTGTGGAAAACGTTCCCGGCTCTACGACTCGTCCGGGGAATTCCGTCGATCCATTGATTCCGCGGGAAGCACAATAAACGATAATGACAGAATCGAGGAAAACTCTGCACGATAAAGACCAGTACATCATCAATGTCAGGTACGCGAGATAAACGCAGATAGCCTGGTGGTCACGTATTTCCGATTACGGATCAAGAGCCTGAATTCTCAAGATTTTGTCTTGAATGTTGCTGCATCATGCATGCGTTCGAATCAGAGTTTCGCTGAATTTTATTCGAATTAAATTGGGTCGTTTGGAAAGTTCGTAGCATTTCGAGGACAGTGGTTTTTTTTATTGCACGAAGGAAAAATCGTTTCATTTGGTGAATAGGTATTATTTTTTAGACGTGAATTGAATGTATTTGGTATATATAAGTTATTTGTTGTTTTTGTATGGTTTTTGTGAGAAATATCGACGAAACGTATGAACAACCACAAAGTCTATTTTCATAAAGTTCTGTCGAATTTGTATAAACATTACACTATTGGAAGATTTTATAACATCTACATAATTAATTAATTGTTCTATCTGATAATTGTTCTTTTAAATCACTAGAATGTTTTGTAGAAAAGACGTCGAAAAGAAAATCCATGAGCTTTAGTTTCGTAATTTATTTCGTGTACTTTCCCGATTAACGGAAATTCCGTAATGCTGAATCGATAATATTGCTTTTTTTCGCGGGACTTTCCTCAAAGATAATCATACGATTTGTTTTCAGTAATTTTCTAAGTTTGTTTATAAACATTTCGCGGCTAACGACGATTGCACAATAATGAAGTGCAATGTAATTCAGCATTCTTGGCGAATTTTATATACATATTCGTTGGAGAACGGTCAAAGACAGTGTTTTTTAACATACCAATATCTGTTAGAATATCAAAACAAATCGAAATACAAATTATTTAAGGTTAATAATAATAAATGACGATAACATTTTTCATTGTTGGACAGACAAGAATGGTGTGTAATCATTTATGCACACAATTATTACGATCGTACGGCTTCACAGTTTAATCAGTTCCTGTGTTGAAAATTTCAATAAAACAAGTGCAAAATTGGAAAGCAGTTATTGCTGCGGATATTATTACTCTGTTTACACAAGTATTGAATTTAATCAATGGGTGTTTGATCGGTATACAGGGTGTCTCGATAAAACCCGAACACTCAAATTGTACAAGGCAAATGTGAGCAAAATTATTGCTGCTGTTAATGAAAGAAACGTTCTTTACAATAAAGTTTATTGGACATTTGGTAGCTCGAGTATATAAAAGAACTGATTGAAATGATAATGACTTTTTGTTACAATATATGTCGTAAGTTCATTGAAATACATTAAAATATCACCGGTTTATTAGGTGGAATCGTAAATAAACTACAGATATTTGAATATTATACAACCAGTCTTTGTCAACGATACAATAAAAATTGAACGAATTTTATAAACGTGTATAGTAATATTGTTATTTAATATTATGTAGGAATTGTTCGATCCTTTCAAATTATATATTTGTCCTTGGTACATTTGTTCATGTACGAACGCATTTTTCACGTTTCGTATTGCGGTCGAACTGACACTTTTGATACGGTCCACATTTCACGCCGGCACAATACACTCCGTCTGAAAAATACAATTATTTTTACTCGTTCTACATTAAAATATCATTATCAATCATTGTAAAATCAATTTTTTGCTGGATATAAAGAAACATTCTTACGTTAGCCAGTTTCATATGAAGCTTTCATTTAAAATAGTGCCAATTTGCTTACCATTTTGCGACCCTTTGTACCCGTTTCCGGTACTAAACATACTCGCCTCCACGCACGACTCGGTCCCGCATTTGTTCGGACAGCATATTTCGTTCATGGAGCACTGATAATCCGAAACGCATCTTGGAGTGCATCTCGACACGCTGTTTCTCAATGGACAATGACCACCTTTGTCTGTATTAACATTTTCATTGAAAAATGTTTAACCGAGTAATACCCATGGGCTCACAATAATATTCTAACTTTGTGTATCGTATACGAAATCTATGAGCATAACGAAAGATAATAAAAAATCGTGTAAATTACGACGAAGTGTTCTTTACATTAATGTCAAATTATTTCTTCGTATGGTTATTATGTACAGTAACAATTATCCGAGGTGAAGTTTTTATTATTTTCTTTTTTGTACCAAAAACCCGTGTCGCCATCTGTGGCAAAGTTTCCAAGTTACTGGCACATTCGTACTAGAGTTTCACGGAAGATAACACCACCATGTCATTTATATCCTCCGTATAAAAATATTCATTTTAGTTATTTCGAAACAGATATTGTGCACCAACAATTATTAATTACCATCGTGTTATTTTATTAGTTACTAATTGACCAACTAACAATCAATAATAGTATGAAGAATCAAAAGCCATACATTTCTGTAAAATTATACGAACACTTCTTCCCAGATAGCACATGACGCCTTGAAGACGCCCATTTTACGGCTATTTTAGGTCCAAGGCGTCTTTAAGCCGTCTTCAAGGTGTCATGTGCTATCTCGGTTTTCACGATCGAAAAATTTTCTTATTTTTCGAAACGCTACAGTCTGGGATTAACGCAGCAAAAGGGCAAATTTAGTAATTTTATAACGACTGCTGCGCGTTTGTCTGGAAATAATTTTGCGCGTTCGAGTGATTAATTGACTTACGGGACAGCTGGCCGACTGTCGCGGACAGGAGCAGGCACACCGTCACCGCCAGAATCATTCCTTTCTCTGTGACAGAAAATTAATCGTACGGAAATTATCAGCCCAATCGGACGTCCATTGTAAACATTTCCTTGGAGTATTTGAATAAACTAGCACTCAATCTGTACATGTATATGTCTAATGGGTGTCTTGAAAAAACTTTTCCACACGCTACACGAGAAACAAAAATATGCAATAACAAAAAGTCATAATATGAAAAATAAATTTCTCTTTCGTATTACACAGAATCCTGGATTTTTTATACCACGAGAGAAGAAACAGGTTCTCGAATCTTCCTGTCATCTTGGACAGTCTGAAGGTCATCGTTTAAAATTTCCGCTGAAGATTCATTTCTCTTCGTTGTAGTATTATTTGTGTGATACTGAAACTAGTATAGAGTATCTATTCCGTTTGTAATAAACAATTATAATTAGACTGCTAATTTTATGTATTTATGTAGCCTATAGAGGTCTGCAAAATACAGTAAAATACAAAACTTTCACCAGACCCAATCAGTTTTGATATTTAAGAAACGAAAGAAATTCCTACCTTTGCTCTTCTCTGTATAAATTGCATCAGAAAATACCATTTTGCATAAAAATCCGCAGTCTAATTAAAATAAACATGACTTTCGTAACATGCAAGATAATAAATACGACCTTTAAATAATTTTAAAATACCGAAAATAATATTTTTCTCTAGTAAATAATTTGAATCGAGAGAATACTACAATAATATCGGTTATTTATATATTTTTTCTGATCTGTCTGTTCTCTTACTGTCAAAGGGGTGGAGAGTACGCAAAATATTAATTTTCCAAAAAGACACATACTAATCATTTCCATTCTGTCGACGATCCCTCTTCTGCCGAACTGACATCCACCTTGCACTTTCCAAGTTCGTCCAGCCGGCGGATGAACCACGTCTAATCGTTGCACGATAAGAATTCCGTCTCTTAAATCTCTCGTCTCTCTCTCTCTCTCTGCTTCTCGTTTCCACTTCCAATTTGCGGCGAAAGGAAAACCTCGCGAAACGCACAAGGGGAAACCGAAGGATCGACTGATTCAATGGCTTCTCGGACACTATTTTGCACCGTGTACACTTTAACGACTGTTATCAACTTGTTTTTGCTCCACAATACAACATAACGTGTATACATTCGGGGAATAATTTTCTTGGGTATTCCACCGAGGTTCTACGGATTGGAATTGCATGACTCACACTGTGTTGGAGTCTCAACGCGACGCTCGAATGATTCGTGCCGTTCGGCCATATTGTCAGCCAGGTATTAGAGGCAAGAATCATTGGAGCATCCAGTTGACTCTTCTTCGTAGCTGATGCAAATTGTCTTTATGAAAAGATTATGGCTGAGGACGACATTGAGAGCATCTTGGTATTGTTGAAATTCAGTTCGTTGGGTAGCAGTTTTCTTACACGTTTCTCAGTCGATTTATTAACACTAGAAGTACCAAAGCAGTCAAAATGATTGGTTGGTATATTCTTCTATTGATGATTAAAATGTTACAACACTTTTCTCAGATTTTTCACAACTTTCATTGTAATATAAAAATTAAGAAATAGTTAATTTATAGATTTAAATATTTTCTTTTATAATTGATATTATAAAGTTATTGCACGTAAAAAAAACTATTCTTGTTGCCTTTGAATACTGTAGAAATATTTAAAAGAAATTACGGTTTTATAAGTTTTTATTGTATTCCTAAGAAACAAAGGACAATATAATGTCTTACTTTACCGATAAGCCTTTAGAAGTATATAAACATTTGTTTCGTGCCATCTTTACAAGACCAGAGCAAACTATTGTATACTCATAGATATGAAAAAATACATACAATGATATTAATATTTTAAATAGTGAGAAGGAAAGGGTTAAACGGAGGCTGAATTTGTGACTACGAGTTTTATCAATAGAATTGTTAATACAATTGTTGTCAATCTTTTATAATGTTCTTCGAATGATTATATATAAGATTACAATTTATTGTATGAAAAGGTACCAGTATATTTTCAAAGTTTTGTAAATCTGGTGCTTTAATGCCCTTAGAGTGGTCTTGCTCAATGGTACTCTTGCGTTTTACAATTTCATTATTAAAAACATTATCTTCGAGGTACATACATATACAGAATAGTATCATTGTAAAATGGCACAAGAATATAAAAGCATCGAATCAATTCAAGCGGTCGAGCACACATTCAGTTTGATCCCATCACTACTTGGATGTCATGATTCGACGGAGAAACACGTGTGAGTAATAACTGTTATTAATAAAGTGCGTGGTAAGATAGACATCTGGACTCATTATTGCCCGCGTCGTGCAAAGCTACCTTATTAAAAATAAAATGTTTTGCATTCATTTCATAGAATACAATTATCACAGTTTACAATAATATTTGAATAAATTTCACAACAATTGCCTCAAATACTACTTATATATATTCGAGTTTAGAATATATTTGTAACAATATGTGCATAAATTCAGTAAAACATGGCTTAAATATTATTCACACTTATGACAATAAAAATAATTCCCTCTTCTGTGACTTGTAAATCTTCCGTACGATGTTCAAAGCTTCATATGGAATAGTTTCATACATTTGTCGTCGAAATTTTCATTCTTGGGGACATATGATAAATGTCGGACTCCTGAAAATGATAGATACGTGTTCTCATTCACACATTTCACTCATCACTGCCATGTGCCTGCATGCTGCACGTTGTTGACCGCTAGTGAGTTTGGCGGGCGCTGAGTTGCCCATCACTAGGTTAAAGGAAGTGTGTTCGTAAATTTGAAATAAATACGTAAAAGTAATAACTAAAATTCTAACCCAATATGGCGGCTGTTTTTCACAGTCCGTCAATGACTTTTTGCTTCTTAAGGTCCAACACATTACCGTGTATCTCAAGGTTCTATGCAAATGTGTGTCACTAGGTTAATAACGCGAAGGAAAAGGTCACTTCGAGGTAACTTCGAAAGAAAAGGTCGCTGTACTTTCCCAGTAGACCCGCCATTGTTGCATTCGTACCTTCCATCTTGCATGCAGTTTTTTTCGTCTTACGAAAGTATCTACCCCAGATAGCACACAGACCGCTTAAGACGTCTTAATGACGGCTTAAAGACGTCTCAGGCCGAAAATAGTTGTAAACTGGACGTTATCAAAAGTCATGTGTCTGGGACTAAGGCTATTAAATAACAAAACTGACTGAAAGTAACGGAATCTTATAATTTGTTTACAATCATAATTGTTTATTAACCGAACAAAATATTATAAATGTTTTAATTAATGAAACCGTCGCCTAGGGAATCGCAGAATGATTCTTTCGGTTCTAACAAATCGTGACTGATTTTTCACAAATTTCTTGAGCGAAAAGAAGCATTCAAATTAGTCGAGAAGGAAGAATGGTATAATCAACAATATTCGCAATACAGCATCGTCGTTAATAAAAGTATCGCTTTCTAAAACAGTCGCTTCTAAAGATCCGATTCCAATGGCCCTGTCACAAATGTCAAAAGAAATTCGCGAATTGTCGGTAATACGTACATTTCTAAGACATCTTGTTCAGCGAAAAGAATTCAGTAACAGTGAATCACTATTCAGGAAAGTATCGTCTTCGCGTGATTAAGCCTACAGTAAAATGGCACTTGAACGTCTCCGAAGAAATTCTTAAAATTCTCGATAATATGGCACCTATGAGATATTTCGTTACTCGTGGTACTTATTTCCCCGCGAATTTCGAACGAAGAGTCGAACAGTCTCTGATCATCCGGATTAATTGTTGTAGAAATAATAAGGGTAGGAATTCGGGTCTCTGGGATTGTTATAAGGATTTCTGGGCGTTTCGTAAGGATTTCTGGGCGTGTCGTAAGGATTTCTGGGCGTGTCGTAAGGATTTCTGGGCGTGTCGTAAGGATTTCTGGGCGTCTCGTAAGGATTTCTGGGTGTTTCATAAGGATTTCTGGGAGAATTGTTCGGATCCTCAGGCAGCGGTACGACCGGTATCTCCACGGACTCGACCACCTCGATGTCCGGTTTCTGGCAGGCCAGCGCGCCGCAACGATTTTTGCAACACTTCAGGTTTCCTCTGCAATCGTTGTCGACGCTGCAAGTTGGCGTACAGACCCACCTTCCTTTGGGCACGGCTGGACAGGAGCCTGGTTTCTCTGCGAACGAACAATGTTTTATTTTAACTTCGATCAATTCTCATGTTGTCACTCACATTTAGGGATATTCAATTCCGATTCGATTCTTCGGGAGATCGATTTCCGTGTAACACATACACTAACGGCGGAAAGTATGGGACCAGAGATCAAAATTAATGGAACAGTAACTCATTGTTCTGTTACGATAAAATAAAAGTTACGGAATCAGTACATATACAGGGTGGCCCAAAAGTCACTAGACTATTTTAAAATATAACTTTTTAGAAAAAGCCCGTTACTTAAAGAACTACAGTAAATCTTCGATGAGTCCTCGAAAGTTCCTCAGCATCAAACTAAATATAAACTCTGTGTATATTTTAATTTTGCAAAACTATTCCGAGTGTCTCCGAAGAAAACAACGTAATCATCTATAGTTGATGGTGGATGACATCGAAGGATTCGTTTTACCTCTGTGATTCGCTTGTCTCATGGTCACAGGCATCGAGCAGACCTTTCCTTCGCAAGTGGTGCTGCAACATTTGGCGATTCCCAAGCAATCTGAGTCGGATGAGCAGACCCGGGTGCAAATCTGAACCGACACTGCTGGCGGACATGACCCCGGTTTCTCGGCGAATGGTTCGTACCTGAAACTACTGCACTGGTTAGTGGAAAGCCGAAGTAGAGGAGGTTCGATTATTTTTTGTTCGAAATACCGAAAGAAAAATTGTTAATGGTATCTTGAGGAAGTAGACTTTACCTGGATTGACCGTAACTGGTGGCCAAAATTAGCGATAACGCTAGGGTCACCAGAAGCGACTTCATACTTCCAGCGTTCTGAAGATGTCCCCACAAAATGGCGTCCGCTTAACCAACTGAAAACGTAAACTTGATAATGAAACACGAAGTCGCAGCATTGTTGTTTGTTCAATCGAAAATTTTGTTAATGACCACGGCACTGTTGTCTGTGTGTACGTCTTATAACAATCCAACAAGTGAACAATTATTCTTTCTCGCTGATATTACCAAGGAAAATTCATCATTAACGCTATGCTCGAATCTCCATAGTATAAAGAAACTTTAACCTAGAGAACAACAAATATTTTTCGAAGTCCTAACTCGAAAATCTTTTTTTTCTCAACGGTTGTACCTCCAAATACTAACACCAAAAGTTGTAATAAATAGATATTCAGTAGATGATATTATACCGTGTTTGACGATTTCACTACTTTTCGTTTTCTATAATATCAAACTCCGTGAACTTTAAACTCAGTTTTCTCCGTTTAGAAACCAGTGGACATAGAACACTTAAAAACGACGATTTGCTCTCACGATTATTTTTTGTATACAAATTTAAACTGGTATTAATCACTGTACTTGCGTATGACAGATTTATCGACAAGTTCTCGTGTCTTTCACACATCTGCTAAGGGCCTGGAGGAATTTCCCGCCTATATAGGATCGATCCCCACTTGGCCGATAGATCGTGCAGCACGTGGGCCCCGTCCATAGGGGACCGCATAGATCGCCGCCGCACTAACCTTGGATGTCGAACCGCAACGCAACGGCAATTAGCCGGGCGAATCCAATTAACGAGAAATCTAAATCGAGCGGAAGGAAGATAGTGGTTGTTTATTCGAGCCGCCCCCTCGATGGAAAGAACCTGCGGCGGTTTTCGTAGTCTAGACGGTTTCCGGGTCGTTTAATCGCGCCCTTTTTTTTTTCCGCGACTTATATACTGTTCCTTGACGCCTTTCCTGGCGCGTGCATTAACCCGTTCGCCAGGAAAAAGAGGAATGACCTCGTTGATAGTGCCTGACAATATTGTCCATTGATTCTTTTATTTTATTCACTCAACTATAGAATCTCCAATTCGGTCGTATCGAAGTAGTTACTTGCATTAATGCTTTATCAACGGCTTTTTTAGCTGTGAACAATAGTTTGTTTTTGAGGGAATTTAACAGAAAATAGGAGAAACAATTCTTCGTTTGTTGAAAATCTGATTTTTCAAAATTCGATAGATTTCCTTAATTTGTTGTATTTTGTACATTAATAGTATATTTCTTTATTTCATAAGAAGCGTAAATTATGATGTCTTAATAACCCAGATAGCACATGACGCCTAATGACGCCTTGAAGACGTCTTAAAGACGCCTTAGACCTAAAATAGCCGTAAAATGGGCGTCTTCGCTAAAGCCGAGGCTTCGGCTAGTTGCCGAATTAAAAATTTAATTCGGTTACTATTTTACAAAACGTGTGACATACCTTTCTGTCAAAAACAGTCGACCTTGTGCACCGAACACGCCGTCCGTCGATCGCAAATCGAAAGTGTTTCGATGACATAAACGAAATTAAAAAAAAAAGACGACTGGTTTTTCCTGCCGGTGATGCGGACACTAGAGGAGACAGTTCGACACTGGCGATGAATACCCAATCGCATGTATTATTCAGAGATGTGGTCGACTCTCCGCGGGAACTAACATGACATCATTCGTTGTTTAATGTCCCCACCTGTTCATCGTTTGACAAACATTGGAGAATATACAGGGTGTCCCACCCGATTTTGACATCTTGATTTTCTCGCTATTGTTACTCGTAGCAAAAAATTTTTCAGCGGAGACTTGAATGGTATCGCGTGGAGCATATTCTGATGTTATTAGTTCTTTCGTGAGTGGACATGTGAAGGTCATATAAAGGTCAACTTTGTTTTTTTAAATGGAATGAAGTATTTTTTAATACATCAATCGATGCAGCTGGACATTCGTTGTAAAAAAGTACTAACCTATGTATGCCGAAAAGTTAGTAGTTCAGGAGATATTTCAATTTAAATAATTCTAAAGTACCATTACTGTCGTACTTTATTATCATTCCTGTATATAAACGCTAGGTACGATTCGAGATCTATCTGGTTCTAGTTTCTGCGAAGGAAACAGTCGAAAGGCTTGAAAAACCATATCTTCGTTTTCATTGAAAACGTTCACTTTCACGTTAAATAACAACGCTCTTTCGTCTCACGGTGCCTGGAATCTGAATAATTCGCTAAGTTCGTTGCATAATTCTTCGGAAGTGTTGATTCCTCGAAGACGACCGGTTTTCTCGCAGGGTGGGGGCAAGGAATCGTTTTTGCATGCGTTCCTGGGAATTTGCAACGAAAAATTAATTTTTCGACAGTAGACAAATTGTTTTGGTAATTAGTTTTCATTAAGATGTTCTATTAATTTAATTTTACATCAACTTCTTGTTAAGAATATTGCTTTCGTAATTTATGGGGATCTCATCGGTGGTTTTAGAAGATCGATGATTTTGGGACACGTTCTAGAATTTTCTTCTTTATTGATACGTTTATCATAAATATATATATAAAAAAAGGGGATCCAGTCGATCCGGTAGAAAAGTTACGCAAAAAATGTTTATCGGTCTAATACGTGTTACAATTTACAATTAAATCGTTAAATGCATTCTTGGTACTTGAAACGCGTTCAGTGCGACAGCTTCCGTCGAGAATTCGACGTCTGTACAGAGTATTCGATGAAATTTCTTATTCGATACGAACGACCGCCGCGACGCCATCTTTCTTTACAGTCTATCGGCGTCGGGGGACATTTCTTTAATTGTTTAAACGTTCCTCTAACTTAATATTTAGACACGATGACGTTGATACTGGATTAAAACAATTACTTTGATTAGAGTAGGGAATAGTAGATAAGTATATATATGTGTGTGTGTGTGTGTGTATGTATATATATACAGTTTTTCAACTTTGGCTTCCCGCCAAAACGAGGAAACTTTGATTTGGCGCTCGCTAGCATTGTATTGCAAATTGGATCGAAATCCGAATTAATTAATTAATTATTGTACAACTTAACAATGTAATTGGAGCTCCGAATACCCTTAATCATCGTTTCTCTTAATTTTAAGGTTAAATTTTCTTGTCAAGCAGCCGTCTTGCGACGATTTCGAAGGATCCCTCCGAGTATTAACACGTCATTCGGATTGTTGCATTGCAAAATAGATATTCTACCAATAATTGTCTATATTATTACCTGTTAAAAATCTTGTTAACCTTAGAAGCTTTACAAATGTTAGTTCGATTAATTATTTATCGAATAATCCAATCAGACTTAAAATGTTCGACAGCTATTAAACTATTTTAATTTTACAGACCCTCTATATTAAAAAATAACGTAAACATTTCGAGACACTTCGATTTTTCCGCTAACAATTAAGCTAAGAAGAAATTCCAAGATTTTCATGGAGGACTTTCATCAATGATCCTCGAATCGTCGAGTTCTAAAACAAATACGAACGTGTGTTTAGTCGACGTAAAATTCGTAGAAACTCAGTTCGAAGCGTTTCGAACTCTTCGAATAGCGCACCGTTAAACACAATCGATGGTAATGAAATTCAAAGTGTCGAAGCGTGTCGACACTTTGAAACATTCAAAAACCTCCCGGATAGCACAAAGACGGCTTAAGACAGCTTAAAGGCGTCTCAGACCTAAAACAGCCGTAAAATTGGCGTCCTCAAGGCGTGTCACGTGCTATCAGGGCTTTGGGTTCTTTACACTCGCATGAACATCTTGATAATCGCGACGAATGTTTTTATTAACCGTAACAATTCTATCTAATAACCCGGATTCGAAAATAACGAGTAAAATAATTCCGTAACAAACTCATTTGACACGTACGTGCATATTAACATAAAAAATTCATCGATCAAGTCACGGCTCTGTCTCTCTTCCGGGTGTTCGTGACAAGCGAAATAGAAGCAAAATAATGTACAATAGGAGGCAGAAGAACGGAAAACACGCGCAAATCCATTGTGAAAAACGTATCGTGGTAGTCTTCGTTAACGATCGCCTCCAACTAATTTACATTTCAATACGCTATTAATACTAACAATTATGAGAAGTCGCACGACTGTTTCAGACCGCGCGAATAACTTCGTCGACGAAGAAGATAATCGTCGAAGGCACATATCGTGGACGATCCTTTCTTTTCTGGAAAGTGGAGAACCCAATGGCGTCCGTGGCGGCCATCTTTCTATTTCTTCGTGGCGCCTGAAACCGAAAATTGTCAGGAAAAATGAGTTTTAATTTTTTACGGAAATGTAACTCCACACGAACTCTAGTACATTATTGTTTTGTACTTGAGAACATTACAGCCGAATTCATTTTTGCTGAATAATTCATAACAAACAGGAGGTAAATGACAGGGTACGTTCCCCATTTAGGGGTTTCATTGTTTCATGTATTATAATTCGACGAAAATGAAATTAAACAGTGACATCGAAATGAAATATAAAATGAAAATAGAAGTTATATAATAGAATATACACAATGATTCGCATATTTGTTCGCATACTATCGAAATAACAATTACGTAAATATTCCTATCTACCGATACTTATTGCATTCGCTTTTATCATCTTCCTACGACACCTTCTTTATTTTAAAACAAGATAAACAATATTTTGGCGAAGTAATACAACGTTCCGTGAATAAATTCCTAAGTCACTGAATTAATAACGATGTAAAATGTGAGGTTATTTCATAGCTTATTAAATCGTAAGTTCACTGAAAAATAATTGAAATCGTCATTATCGATTTCTTGTTGTTCTGTGAGTGGTGTACAAAGAAAATTAACAGGAAACAGAGTGACTAAAGTGGAACACCATTTCCTGGGAGATCCTAAAACAGATGTTAAATGATCGATATCTGTACTGTGGACTTACATACTGGACCTCCCCTGAGTTCTCCAGTTCGTCAGTAAAACTTCACACAATTTAACTCCTTCTTTATTATTTTTCGAATGGAAAGATAAAAAAATTGAGCAGCCGCCATGGAATACTAGACGAAGCAAAGACGGGATGAAGAAATTACTCGCAAAGAGCAAGAAGCATTCCTTTTAAGGCGGTTCGAGAGGGTTTCGAGAAACAGTGACGATGAAAGGCCGATTAAGTAACCAGTCTCTCAGTGGATTCCCAGAGTAAAAGGGAACGACCTGGGTGATTAGCTCGAGCGGAATGTCAACGTGCAACGGGGATTTCAATGAACCTCTTTTGAGTCACCGCAAGCTTCTTAAGGACTTGCTTCTTTCAGGGAGATTTCTCGGTAGGCGAACCGTTCTTGCGGACGAGTGCACGTTTTTTATCGTGTTTGTCGAACGAAGGAAAAATCTTGTTCCTCTTGACATATTAGAATGTTCCTCTTGACTTCTATCCTAGGTATTTTATTATTGAAATCGACTCTCATACATTTGTCGATTTTTCGTACTCAAGGTCACATGAAGGTCACCTCCAAGGATAACATTTTTCCTGAGGAAAAAAGTTGTTTCAACTCGTCCTAGAAACCTCTCATTTCCTGGAGTCGAAGTTATTATTGGACAGGCTATACAGAGTGTCCCAAAATAGCTTCGACTCCCGGAAAGCGACCTCTACGTTTTGATAACGGTGTATCTGCGGTGGATAATGACACTAAAATGGAAATGGGGTACGTAACCGCAGAAAACTGTGCCGCAAAAATACATTGAATGAAATGTCTACTCCTATACCTCGTCTGTGGTAACACCATTGGATCAGGAACTATGTAGGTCGGTTATAATACCAAAACCGAAAAGAAACCAAAAATAGATCTCACCTCTAGGTGGTACAGGCGGGGCGGGCGCCATCTTGCCGGCGAATTTGAGGTCCTGTGACAGATCCACGTTCATATAATCAGGCATTCTTGCGCCATCCGTGACGTCCGTGTCACCGGAACCGTTCACCAGGTCCGTTTCCACATACTCCTCGTGACATTTGCTCTCGATAGTGTTCATAGCTTGACATTGACCGTCACCTGGAATCTTGAGTTCCGTCGGTCGTGTCGGAGCCTCGACCTTGGCCGAGTTCTTCGAGGACTCCGTGGTCTGGGTCAGATCCGTCGAGTGTCTCTGCTCGCCGGTCCGTTGGCCTTGGACCGTTTCCGGGAACGGTGTGACGCGTCCAGAAGGCGTCACGTTCATGTAGTTCGCGGGAATGCACATGCCCGGTGGAGGGATTGGCCCTGTACTCGACGTCACCGGGTCGATGTTTGCGTAACTGGTCCCTGGATGCCTCGACGAATCCGGCTCCGGTGTGTCAATGACGGCTGGTGACGGGGTCTGCATCATTTCCAGGTACTTGGGATGGTCGCACGGGGAGCTCGGGGTCTTCGGTTCCTTCAGGGTGTGGTCTGGCTTGAATGCTGTTGGAGATTCGTGGGAAATTGTTAGATGTGGGAATCCCACAGTGGTGGAAATAACGTCAATTGCTCGTGTCGCATTCATCGAGGTATCACTGTATAGTGGATTTCATACAGTTTTTAATTCTCTATCGGAATGTATATATGAAGCACGTGCGAAAGTTTTAAGTTGATAGTAATAAACTAAATCGAAAAAAATAGTCTTCTGTATTATGTGTGTTAATGTTAACCCTTTAACTACTAAGCACTACTATAGTGGCTTCTTACTGCGTGACGTTTTTTCTTGCTTCTAAAGCTATGTGCGTTCGGTGTCTGTTGTGGAAGTGTTTACATATTTTATTTTGTAACTTCACTCATTGAGAAACTTCTTTTATTTTGGGTCAGAACTCGTTTCTTTTCAATCGTAAGGCAATATTATCTGATTCGAACGATCTTCTTTTGTCGAGTAAAATTGTGAAAAATGCGGGCAGGTTGTTTTTTTTGTGTAGAATTAATTATCTGGTTAAATAATGCGGAGGAAAGGGTCTTACAATGAACAGGCAGTCCTGACGGTGGGAACGCGATGTAATACTCGTTGTCCTCTGTCCTCGAGGGTAGCTGCGTCGGTCTGAGATCGAGATCGTTTCCGGTCGAGGAACGGGGCGATGGTGAATACCTGAGCGCTGGTGAATACCTGCCGGTGAACGGTTTCGGCGCTGGTGGTATTTCGTACGACATCACGCCTGGCTTGTCTTCTCGTGCATTTTGCAGCTAGAACAACGGTTTCGTTTCCATTCAGTCTAGATTCACCTGAATCGAAGGTGAACATTCATTTATCGTTCGACTAGCCATTTCTTTTGTTGGGATGTTTCTGGGTCAGTGACCAAAGTACAGATGGTGTTCGGATTATGGAGGATTAACTATATTTCTATGAATTAAAAACACTGTATTTATACAATAGCTGAAATCATTTTTTTTCAAAGGACATTTTGGATGGAAGGGGATAAAAAGAAATGTGGAATTTGCGGAGAAAGAAAGGGAACTCTAGGAGCAAGGAATAGGGAGATTTAGAGGAAACTGGGAAAACGTAGCAGAGGGAAGATATTGTGAGGAGGTAGTAATTTGGTTAAAAGAGATTGAAAGGAAAAAGAGGCAACAAGAAATACAAAAGTTGGGTGTATTAGAATAGGGTAGAATAAGAGAAGTGTTAGGTTAGTGTGTAACAGTTTTATACTATAGAGAAGTATGGAAAGATGTGAGGATAAGGAATTCTAAGCCGAAGAGAAAATACATTTCTTCTTTTCCATCAAAGTATTAGGTATACAAATCGATTCGTGGCCCCAACAATTAATTATTGACCTAAAACCACCATCATTTTTTTCGAGGATTCATCAACTGCCCGAAAAAAGGTATAAATGTGTAAAAAGTAATGGAAAGTGTTTTCAAGACTAGACTGTATTTTTCTTTTTGTGTAAATCAAGAATAAATCTATGAAAAAAATTAATTTATAATTTTAACACATACTCTTCTATCCTCGGTGTCGGAATGGGTCCCGCTGTCGCCCAGACTGGTCCCGCTGCAACCACTCACGGTGCTCATTCTACCGGACGAAGACGAGCCTGAAACACCCCAAAAAAAAGACAGTCTTTAAATACCTGTTCCTTGAATCTGTTTACACTTCGATTGCCTCATTGTATCCTCGATCGTTATACTGTTAATTATCGAGATATCGATCGTTGAAAATATTACTGTTCCGTACTCGATACACTACGAAGACTCAAGCTGCTGACTGGTCTACGGTCCGCCAGGCCGCCATTAACGGTTTCAGGTTTGCCGGCGGTGGACGCGTCGTCATTAGCGTGCACAGAGTCCTTTAAGTCTGTAACAAAAATTGTATACACGATTCGATTGAAAGAAAAAATTGGAAGTCCAGATAGCCATGACGCCTTGAAGACGCCTTTTTTACTTTCTATTTTCTTCAGAACTTAAAACAATTCCAGATAGAGCGAAGGAAATTTTTCTTTCGATTTCTTCTGTTCGCTCACCTTTCTTCCCCTTTGAAAAGAACTTCCTGATCCGGTCGAAAGGGGTCGGTGCCTTCATTTCCTCCTTCAGTCGCTTCTGTATCCTCTCGTACTCCTCTCTCATCGCTGTCAGCTGCCTCTGTTTGTCCTTGAAACTCTGTTGCACGTCGTTCCGGTTCCGCCAGTTCTCCACGAGTCTCTCGACCTCGGTGATCGTGAACACGTTGTTCTTGAAGTCGTTTATGATCTCGAGCAGCTCGTCCTGCGGGCCCGACGGTTCCCTGGACTTTGTGCTGGAGTTCGACGTTGTCCGACCGTACGTGCACGAGGAGTGACAGTTTTCTTCGCGACGACCATGGTGAGCCTCGTGACGATCATGGGTGGGCGTCGCCGTCCTGGACGGCTGCTGGCTGGCTACGTTAGACACGGGAGTCTTGGGTCCTTGAGATCGAATCAGAGAAACTATAGCCTCGAGTATATGATTAAGTGAGTCTGGTTAGGTGATAATTAGCTATTTGAGATGTTCAATCCTTTTGTTATTATTGGGCGATCATGATCGTGGTATGGGATAAAATAAACAGATTTCTGTTTGACACTGGTTGGCGTAGATTAGTTTAGAAAAGTCTATTTGCTTAGATACTGGTGGTTTAGTGATTGTATTATAGAGTAGGGGTGGTAGTAATGGGGTGGTAATAGTGGAGTAGTTATAGTAGACTAGTAATAATAGAGTAGTTATAGTAGAATAGTAATAATAGAGTAGTTATAGTAGAATAGTGATAATACACTAGTTATAGTAGAATAGTAATAATAGAGTAGTCATTGTAGAGTAGTATTTGTACAGTAATAATACTAGAGTAATAATAGTAGAGTAGTAATAGTAGAGTAGTAATAGTAGAGTAGTAATAGTAGAGTAGTAATAGTAGAGTAGTAGTAGAGTAGTAGTAGACTAGTAGTATATAATGTACATATTGAAGCAGCGTTGAGTTGCTCCTATCTCAAATTTCAGGCCATTCTGATGTGTTAAAAGAATTTCTGGAGGTCGCTATATCTTGTTCACCGATTACAAATAGATGATCAAAGTGTACGAATAATAAGGATCACCTACCAGCTGGGTGCATTTTCATGTAGCCTTGAAGGGGTAGTTCAAGGCCGTTCGGGGTGTTGGCCGGAGCCGTGGGGGTTGAAGGACTGACGACGACGGGAGTCGGTGCCGGCACGATGGAGTAATTTGCCTCAATGGGGTTAGTGGTGGTCGGGCTAGGTGTTACTGGTAATTGGCCTGGCAGGATCAGAGACGTTATTGGTCTCGCGGCCGGTGGCACCGAATAAGCTTCGCTCAGTGGTCGTGGACGACAGTAATCTTCCTTGTCGTTATTCGCGTCGTTGGTCGTGTTAGTCGATGATGGGTCCGCGCCTGAAATTCGTCGCTTCGTCAGGCCAAATACTTTATAGTCTGGGATGTATTTACACTACCGCTCATAAGTATTTATCTAATGGTATTCTTAGGTGTACTAATAAGTTATCCATAATAAGATTTACGTTGAACAAATTGGTAAAATGGAATTAATTAGTAGCTTCGAAAAAGCTTATCACACCAAACGGCGGTAATATTGTCAACCGCAAGTCAGCCGTTCTGTACATGCTATAATCTTTCTATAGCGATAAGGGGTTAAATAGCTCACAACGGATGATGTCACTACGCGTTACATACAGTTACTAGATGTTTTACGTCGTATCGTTTAGAACTTCCGACCGCGAAAATCAGTTACACCAGGCTGGAAAAACGATCCTCACCTGCCGGTTGGTCTGTCGTCGTCTCGCTGATCACCTTCAGGTAGCTGTACATGTTGGTGAACTCGTTCATTTGCTGCGATCCATGGCCGAGCCCGACACATGCAACACAAAAGCGAAACGCCGGTTAGTTCGTTGAATACGAAGTTCATTTGGAGAATACATAAACACCTTCAGCAAGTTAGTCGAGTGGAAGAGACTCGATCGGTTCGATTAGATGTATCCCCAGAAGCATGAATCCAGTGTTTCTCGAAACATTTCTTAACATTCTTTAACAGGCGTGTGAACGCGTTAGAAAGCCGGCGGTTTGGTCAATTGTGATACATAAAAAAATATAAAACAATTCCAGGTGACCTATGGTTACCGACGGATTACAGATTGCTATGGTTACCGACTGGGGCGTCGATGACTCGCCCATAGGAACAGGAGGGTTAACAAATACAGTTGATTTCGAAATTAAAAGGGAGAAGGGATCGAAGCAAGGGCTGCGTTTTAGAGGATATAAGAGAAATATCGCGGATGTACCGGTTCCGTTGGACTAACTCTGACGTCGGTTTAAAGGCGATGTTTTTGTACCATGTAGCCGCGAAGCTGGTGGGCCAGTCTCACGTGACCCGCTTGCTCCGCAAGATCGGCTGGCGTCAGTTCCGATACGTTCCTAAGATCGCAAGCCATGTCGCCGCCTGGACACTCGAGCAACTGCCAGGCGAGCCTCTCCAGGCCGAAACGGGCGGCGAAGTGCAGCAACGTCGGATTCTCTTCGGGACCTGGATCATCGTGAAACAGAGACAGTCTTATTATTCCTACCTTCCAGTGATTTTGAGACTATTGGGACATATTTGTGATCTCTATGAGTATCTGGCAGCGGTTATGCTTTTTCTCTGTGTTACTGGTATGCCCATTTTAGTGTTCTTTTCTTGCGAACTAACTGAATATGTTAAGCCCTCAACACAGAAAACTTGTCTTAGAGATGAGCGACCTGACTACGACTACTTTGCAACAGTTTTAGAATAACCAACCGAACATCAGTCTTCCTCACCGTGTATGGAAATTATGTGCCACTTATCTGAACATACTGAAACGACAGGGCTCCCAAAATTGTTCGAACTAGGTTCTGACAGGGAAATAAAAGTTGAGACACTTTTCTAAGATGAGTAGTCTGTAGTCAAGGGTCAAGAATAAGGGGGATTCTTTTTTGCATAGTCTACAAACAACAATGTTATTCGGGGTATGTTTAAAGTCAAGCCCTTACCAACTAGCCTTCCTACGAGCGCAGATCAGCGTGTGAAAGAGCACAATAGAATTACCAGGAGAATAACACAAGCACACTACCAAATAGTACACCAACTACTCACTCGAATGAACCTTCTGCGCGGACACCACACCGCTGGGTGTGGACAGAAGATTAAAATGTGGCGGTACGTTCCGTTGAAACGCGTGTACCATCCAGTTGTCCAACTGTTCGCGATCACCCGGATTGAAGCCGAATGTCTGCAAAGTGATAATTAATTAATGGGGCTAATCCCACTGATTTCGATCGACAGAGACGTCCTCCGAGTATGCAAAGAGGACTGGGCGAATCCTGTCTCATATAAGGACTCGGCCAATCCTATATAACCTAAGTATAGGACCAATCCTATATAATATAAGGACTGGGCCTATTCTATATAACCTAAGGATAGGGCCAATCCTATATGTATAATATAAGTATAGGGCCAATCTTATATAATTTAAGGACAGGGCTAATCCTATATAATATAAGGATAGGGCCAATCCTATATGTATAATATAAGTATAGGGCCAATCTTATATAATTTAAGGACAGGGCTAATTCTATATAATATAAGCACTGGGCCCATCCTATATAACTTAAGGATAGGGCCAATCCAGTATAATATAAGGACTGGACCAATCCAAATAATATAAGGATAGGACCAATCCTATATAATATAAGGACTGGGCCAATCCTATATAATATAAGGATAGGGTCAATCCTATATAATATAAGGACTGGGTCAATCCTATATAATATAATATAAGGATAGGGCCAATCCTATATAATATAAGGACTGGGCCAATCCTATATAATATAAGGATTGGGTCAATCCTATATAATATAAGGGCTAGGCCAATTCTATATAACCTAAGGATAGGGCCAATCCTATATAATATAAGGATAGGGCCAATCTTATATAATTTAAGGACAGGGCTAATCCTATATAATATAAGCACTGGACCCATCCTATATAACTTAAGGATAGGGCCAATCCAGTATAATATAAGGACTGGACCAATCCAAATAATATAAGGATAGGGCCAATCCTATATAATATAAGGACTGGGCCAATCCTATATAATATAAGGATAGGGTCAATCCTATATAATATAAGGACTGGGTCAATCCTATATAATATAATGATAGGGCCTTTCGAGGTGAAATCTTTACCTGGCACATGAATTCCAAGGGATTGTCGTGGGCACGAAGGATCTGATCGAGTTCCCTGAGCCTGCTCTCGCACTTCACCTGTCTCACTCCCAGAGGACAACCGTTCTTAGTTATCCGTACCCCGACCAGCATCGACACTTCCAGGCATCGTTCGGGGATGGAGAACTGCAGGGCATACGGGTTACGTCGTTTCACGTGGGCGATGTCGATCGCCTCCCCGCAGCGATCCACGATCACCGTCACATTGTCCTCCGGTCGCAGGGGATCGTTCAGCAGCGCGATTATCCTGTTGTGACCCTGAAACCAGTTCCCTTCGTTCAGCTCGTTCTTGGAATTATGTTCGGTGAATCTGAACAACTTTCGAGATCTCCGGTGATAGAAGCGATTCTTCTGATCTTATCCAAGGGAAACTCTATTCGACTGACATCATTTTAGAAAATCAAAGTAATCGTCATCCGGATTTATGCAGGAGATATTGAGAAATTGTCAAGAAAAAAGAAATATCGTAACAAAATTACCTACGTAATAATATCCTCTATCTTAAATACCAGCATACCAACTAACAAGGGAAGATCGGTAACCCGAATATTCCGATTTTTTTTTAAACTTTGCAGGTTTGTAGGGGACCTCGAGAGAAGTATAGCGGAATTTTTGTTTTTGGCCCAATTTTAGTTTTTCGGGGTGAAAACATCCTTTGAAGATAGATAAATGTTTCCATATTTCTCTGTATATCTTTAAAACTATTGTAAATATAAAAGAAATTTCGGATGCACGACCGACAATTGGGACGGATCCCAACATACGATACGGAGTTCGGATGCTCCATCGATTTTCAATTTTCATCTGACGACGTCATCGTACGTACCAGCTTCACTTTCTTCGGATGGACCGAGAACGTTGTCTTGTCGCTCCTCAACGCAGGTGGAGGCGCAGTGCCGAGTATACCGACTGCGGCTCCCAGGAGTTCACCGACGAACGTCTCGTCCTGGTCCTTCACGAAGAATTTCCGCCACTGATTGTACGTGACCAGGATCGACTTGTGGGTGTCGGTGATGTGGCTGTCGTGGACACCTAACATCATCGCGAGCACTTTTTCAGTGGCCAGCTGCCTGGAGAGGCTGGTCGCGTGCTCCGGACGGCTCTGAACCCGCTCCAAGAGCACCGGGCACACGACCACGATCTGCAGACGGGCAGATCTGACCCTGTCCTCCGTACCAGACGGAATTGCGTCCTCGACGGTGACGTGACGAACCCTGGAATCGGACGGAAACGATTCTTGTAATGGGAAATAAGCTCTATTCTTTGCCTTACGATTTTTTTCACGATGGCAGTCTTTAGAATTTGACTCAATTTTTTTGGAAGTTAAACACATACTTAAACACGGTAAGTTTAATGCAAAAGATACTGTATTGTTAATTGTTTCCCTGGTAGGGGAAGGTTGCCAAATTTGGATGCTCGGGACAAAATTTGTAGCTTCTAAAGTAATCCATTTTCGACCTAAGACCCCTAATACTTTTTTGAATAGTAAGTAGTAGACTTCAGTTGCAAATCAACCAGAAGGTATGAAACAGGAAAATTTATATGGAACTATCTTCGATCACGTTTTTCGTCTCCATGTAACTGTTGAATATTACAACATTAACCCTTTCACTGCGGCCCCATATGCGCGGATCAGTCACTGGCAAAAAATATACGAATAAAAAAAATCTAAATTCTATGTTAGATCGGTTTAATAAAACAGTAAATGTGTTATAGTAAGAACAATTTACAGGGCGTATATATACGCCTTTAGTAGCGAAAGGTTTAAATTGTTTTTTAACATTTTCATAGCGGACCGAAGTTTTAGTAATACTTTTTCATAGAATAAAAATTTCCAGAGTAAAAAATTTTTCTTTAATTTTGTACGGGGATCGTATATATTTTTTGTTACATAGTGTAGACGCAGCTTAATAGCTAGTAACAACGTATGTACTTATTTTATTTTGAAAAAAAATCGAAAGGTATTAATTACTTGAAAGGCGGTCGGCCCTGCTGTCTGCTGATCTGCTCGAAACACGCCGTGAGGTAATTCACCCACAGGTTCGAGATCTCGCTGTCCTTGCTGGACACGAAGAGCACGTCGTCTTCAAGGTGCGTGTCGATCTTCGAAAGCCCGGTCGCTGAACGGGACCCTGTGAAAATTATATTTTAATTAGCAAACGAAGTTATTCTTCTGCACACTCGAATCTTCTCGAGAACCTTCAATTTCATATGTTATAATCGAAATTGGGATTCTTACGGATAATAACATTTTATAAGTTTTTTATTCTCTTTAAATATATTATCGAGTTCAGAATAAAGCAGGAAGCTCTTGTATATGATGAAAGGTTTGTCTTTCGTTATGTTTTACATAACTCTATTGGCTATAAATGCAGAAAATCCATAGTTTGTTTGTACAAGAATATCTGCAACACCATTCGAATTTCAAAAAGATCTCAGTTTTACACGGAAATTCGTGTTCTCGTTATTTCTATGGAGTCAATTTTCATATGTGAAGTTACATTAAAATATTACCATTGTCACAGTAAATTAGTAAATTATACCCCCGCAGTAATAATATTTTGAACAGAACGAACACGTGAACAGAGAAACTATTCATTTATCGGAGAAGTCAAAGGGTGGTTGAGCACTTTTGCAATGAAGTCAACTTGAATAGTTTCAATATCTCCTTAAAATCTCGAATCTCTTTAAATACGTTCAATATTATTTCAAATACATTTTTCACGTTTTACAGTCGATTTTAAAGTTTGATAATTCTCAACAAAAATTTTTTTCCTATTTTTCCATTTATCGAATGAGACTACCGCGTGGTAGTAACGACAGTCACTCACCAAGGGTTGTAAATAATAGAAGGGTTACAATTTTAATAAATCAAAATCGCATTGAAGTTGCTTTCGAGAGACAATTATAACGCAGCTTCGATCCCGTACAGATCGGCGCCCTTCTTGTTTGCCAACGAAGGTCCACGGCAGTTTTAATTAACCGTCACGCTTAATTTCCGCGGGCTATTAACGTATTACCGGCTAGACACACCTTAATTTGCCTTTGCCTCGTAAGGTGGGCACAGCAGCGTTCAATTTCATTTAATGCGACACGAGACACGCGAGCATAACCCGTCCCCGACGACGGTACTAATAAAATAATGGGCTTTTAATGCGTTTGTTCCTCGTTCATTCGAGGAAAATAGCATTGTTGGAATGTCTGAGCCACGCGATGGCATTTCTTCCGCGACATGCCTGAAATTACATGGATCGAGGAGTCGAATCTTCCTGGTTTTAAACGAAACCATACTTTCCATCCTGCCGTTGTGCCATTTTTCTACGAAGACGTACATTTATTTCTACGAACGAAGCACGCTCGAAGAATGAAATCTATTTTAGTAATTTTCGGGGGTAATTTTCGATGAAACGGGACGTATTTTTTTTCCAGTAATTTCGGGGGCAATTTTTGAAGTGACAAGACGCTTTGTTCGATATTACGTGAGTTTCTACGAAACAATTGTACTTCTTTTTTTCCGAGGGTCATTTTGAAAGTGATTTCAAACGTTCATGAAACATTCACGTTTCAATAAAAACAGTTACGAATAGATTATTTTTAAACATAATAACGAGAAACATTAACTTAACGATGTAAAATTAGTATGCTTCCCAAATAACCTATACAACTGAGGAAAACTGAATATTTCAAAGAACAGTGGAAAAAATGGTAGATTAAACGTGTCGCACGTTCATCAGTGAACTTTTTATATATAACTTATCATTTCTGTCGAGTTAATCATTTTCGATGAATGAACTATGACTAATCTACAGGTCGAAATTCGATTGTGCGTGAAACGATTCTCCGTTTTCTTAGCAACCTTGAAAACGTTCCAAACGACACAGGATCACAATGAACCCCGTTGAAAAAACGTTCGCTTATCTGAACGTGTAGCGATGCAACGGCTCGTAACTTTATCGAGTGTACAATGCCACCACGTTTTAGTGGGATAAAACGCGTGCATTCTCTCGTCACAACGGAGGCTTTTGTGCCGGCGATACCGATATCTGGACGGCTGTGGCCACACCGGGGTTTCACGGCCGAAAATAACCGGAAAAAAACAGTCACAGTTCTGTTTTTTTTTTTTCATCACGGTATAATGAACTCTTCCACCTCCACATTCATTATCGACTGTCGATTCAACAGGACGGAGAAAGTAAAATTCTTTTAGACGAAACAACACGTTTCACTGATTCATGAAATACGTTATTGTTGGAAAAAGAGTTAGGGGATCTCTACTCTTGTCGCAATATATGGTGTATAATATATGGACAATTTTTTTTCATGAAAATAGGACTATATCTTATTCGACGAGTCGAGTCAGTAATTATGAACAAAGGAGGGTAATGATTGGATTGCGGAGATTTATGGAAATATAGAAGAAATACTGACAGCTGAAAGTTAAAAGTGAGCAGAATTTTAAATTCTATGCTAGAGACTGATAGTGAATAATGATACAAATATTGAAGGTAGAAACAAATTAATATCTTCCTTCAAATTGAAAGAAGCACTGTTTGAGGGTTCCCGCTCCATTATTAACAAAAAACGATTTATTATCTACTAGATTACTACTTAAATAGTTGTCAATGTTTTAACGTGATACAAATACGTATCCCAACCATAATGTCAGATGCTATCATACGTGCAGGTGGTTATGAAAGTGGTCCAAATAAAAAATCTAAACAAAATTGAACGTATTGTTTATTTGGTGTTTCATCGATTTACGTTCTTCAGTCGAAACTAACTTGCAGGATATTTAATTGACTTAGGCCACTTTCATAATCACTGACATATATGCGACGCGATATACAGGGTGTCCCAAAATAGGTGTAAGTTCATGGAAGAGGTGATTCCTAGGGTGATTTGAAACAATTTTTTCGTTAACGAAAAAGTTCTCCGAGGATTTAAAAAACCCCGACCAATCAGAGCGCGAGTCTGCCGGCTGAGCTTCCGCGGTTAAGCACGACAGACTCCTCTCGATTATCGTCCCGCCAGGACAATAATCGTATAGGGAAAAATGCTTCAGACCCTCGTAAATTCGTTTTTTGTCCGAGCCTAGGCAACAAAAGCAGAGGGACAACAAAGTATGCGCTTGATAGGTTCCACGTTCCCCACTCCCCAGTGGTGGGGATAATGACTGGACAATAATCGTGTAGAACAAACTAGACGATAAACAAGAGGAGTCTGTATTAATGTGTTTCTGCCTTAAACCCTTCTTCGATGACAGTGCAATGTATTTATAAACAGTGGTGTAGTGACAGAAAACTGTTCTCTAATGTATTTTCATGTTCTAACATTTTCTCCACGAATATTCGACTCTCAGTATCGAAGGCATTTAAAACACACGTGGCGCCATCGAGGCACACCGAAATCGAAATCGTGATAGTGGGTTGAATTATGGGAGGACGGAAAGGTTCACGATCTCCACGGGGGTAAGCGGGTCCGAAAATAACCGGGAACGGGGTAAACTTCCATTTTCTTCCCCCTGGTTTCTGTTCGTCCACGGTTTCCCGTGAAAACCGCGGACAAATAAACGCGCTGTTAAGAATAGAAGAAGACCCATAGTCGACGCGAAGGGCTCGTTTCCGTGTTCGTAACACGTGGTTACCATCTAAAGAAACGGGCTGATGAAAAGATTTCTGTAACAACGAAAAAATTTCCAACATCTGATTACAAAAACGGAGGAAACATCATTCTAGCTAGAACAATTCCTTGATTCTGAAAATTCTTCACTGTATTCGAATTAAAAGATAGATCGAAGGATTAAATGAGCTTGCGATGATCTTTCTACGTTGATTGATTTTAACACCTTTAGTACCAGAACTATACGAGACCTTTCCTAATATGAGACCCCAGCCTATCTCCGTTAAGGAAAAGTCTTGAACGTCGCAAATAATCTCAAAAAAGAATAACAGATAAAAAGGTACTTCGTCATTTTTAATCGACGATGAAAAGATCTTACTTCTCTAATTAGTTTTTTGGGTGAAATCTATAATATAATAATATATTCATATATGTATATATAATTATATGTTTATATTGCATAAGAATGTTTAATATATTTATTGTTTGGGAAGCAAGATTTCTGAACTTTTTTGTTTTTCTTTAATCCCTACAGATAATTTCGAAAGTTACTGTATGTTATTTTAGCAAATTTAATCCCCAACAAAACGAGCCAAAAAGATCGAAATCTGTTGAGAATTCACCGAGTCACGGAATTTTGTCCACAAATAATTACTTTGGAACCACTGTGCGGCCGGATAAAAAATCCTTCGTTCCGAGTTTGGCTTTCGCGGACGCCATTTTGTCGAGTCCTGCGGCCGCTACGTGACGCGCGTGGGTTCCGCTTTCGGCGCATCCGGTCTCACACCGAATTAATATAGTCGCGAACGAATCGAGCCGGGAGCCGTTATCCGTGTGCTGTTCGTAACACGATTCCAGCGGTCTGGTAGACAGGAAACCGAACTAGAAAAGCATTTTCGCAAAATACAACACTGCCAATTTAGTCTTTGGTCCCGTTAGGTTGTTTCGGGGAGAAAAGATTCTTATCCACAGGCCTGGATTAACGATTCAAAGAATTTTTTACCTGTTGGTCGAATAAACGCGGGAATTCCAATTATAAAATAGAATAATACATTTCATTTTTATTAATATGTAACATTTCGAAGTATGTAACTTGTTTTGATCGAAGATAATGCAATAAAAAGAACCTAATAGCATTTAGCGAAGATATTTAATTTTTAAAGAAATTAATTGGAGAAGAAAATACATATTTAATATAATTTGTTGTTAGAAATTGGATTTCATGTTTTAATTTTTGCAGTAACCATCTATCGTCTGAATTTCATTTAGCTGAAAACAAAATTGAAAAATGTTAGAATAATAAACTCGGTAAAATATTTTTGATTTCACTCAATTATCCTTTCCTCTACATTTATCGTTTCTTTCTCTGTCTGAATTTAATTTGTTCCTCCCGTTGATTTAACAACCAGCACCGAAACTCCTACCGCAACCAAGTAATATAAATATCTGCTCAATTTTCATATTCTGAACATTTTTCCACCTATTTCGATCTGCAGCGAAACGTTCCCTCATA